ATGAAGAAAGTTAGACTTGAAATCAGAACTCCTGAAAAGTACTTGATACCTCAAGGGGTATGAGGAAAGCAGAGGGGAAATGTGTACAAAGAGGTTATTCTGTGACAACAGTGGAGGAAAGAGAAAATAAGGAAGATACCTGGAAGACTTTTGAAGCAACTCAGCACAAGGTGAGGGGAACCTCAGGAAAAGGCAATAACCTTAGAGGAATAACAGACAAGAAAAACATTGCTTAAAGAATATTTCAAGGGAACTTTCATGACTTCAGAATTAGATTGAGCTGACATTACTTCTGTTATTCATTTTTTACTCTGCTACAGTATCCAAATTACCAAATGAAAAATTCTATAAAATGGCTATCATTTTCCATAGACATCTATATATTTTTTGTTGTTGTTACACTGAATATGCAATTCATGACATAATTTCCCTCACCAGGACAGCTGAAGTGTGGTAGAAGGAACACTCAATTTGCATTAGGTATTAGAAGCTCAGCCATAGTACCTGGCATCTATACAACATGAGTGAGTCATTTAATGTCTCTGAGACCCTGTTTTAACTTAGAAAGCAGATTGTAAGCCATGAGCTCCTATGCAGATAATGTGGAGCCTGTAGTGCCTTCAAGAAAAGTTTTTGCTGTCAAATCTATAGATTGACTGTACTCTTATTATTATAAGATTAAATTTATTTCTAAAATGAATCTAATCATTTCAAATTCTAAAAAGTCTTGAAATTCCTGTACCAACAAATACTAATGTTTTAATGACCATGCTGCGGTTAAAAAAAAGTATAAAGTAAATATTACTTGCATTTTAAATATAATTTTCTCCCTCTTTCTAAGTCACATTTTTAAAAAGGTAAAATTGATTCATTTCGGTTTAGGGATTTTTTCCAACCTTTGTCTTTTTCTTTGGGAACAGAAAAATTTGTGTTAACATCAAGCCTACTTTCAAAATTCCAAGGTTTCCTGATTCTGAGAGATTCCTTCAAGTCTATCAGATAAATACTACAGAACTTTACATTTGGCATTCCTTGTTCAGGTCTGTCTGGAGCCAAGAAGAGATGTCTTAAATGTATAGTCAATGATGAATTTTGATATATCGATCAAGATGAAAGTATTGGCTTATGGTTTTTGACAGTCCTCATATTTTGTAATACTTTATTTATTACTATGTATATGGGTGGGAAAACCCAAGAGGCTATAAATGCATGCATATGTGCAATTGATACCTCTAATTATCGACATGAATTATGCAAGTGTGGTTTTCTAATTATGTGTGATCAGAAAATTATAGGTACATAACTAAATTGTCAAGTAGCATTACAACAATCTCTCTGTACACACACACACACACATGAAAATCACACCCCTAATAAAAGTATCTAATTTGTATTAAATAAAATATTGGAAACTTTTTCATACAGCAGGGTTCCCAACGGGCTTAGATTAAAAAGAAGTTTGAAAACTAGTTAACTCTCACAGTATGCATAGCAATAGTGGACCCCTGCCAGCAAAGGGCTTTATCACAGTATAAATGGGGTTTTAAGTGTTTGTTTCCAGGGCAGGTTCTTGCAGCTCAGGCACTTCCCAGTCTCATTGTCCTTTGTTCTAGCGGATGTACAAAGGATTGACTGTTTTGTTTTCTGGCTCAGAGAGATTAGATAAAGTCTGCATTTCTGAACTTCACCCTCTAGGCACGCAACCTTAAAATTTATTTGTTATAGCTCTTATTTTACAGAATATATACATATATATTTAATATTATAGTAGTCACTATATCATCATCTTTAATCTTTACCTCACTTGATAGTAGATATAGATGACAGGATTGATAGCTTCTGAATTACCACTAGAAGCAACTGCCCCTCTCATCCTTGTCCTTAAAATGCCACTTCAGCAAAAATGCACCATCTTTGTTGGGTGTGATCATATTGTTCTTGGGATTCGCTGCCTATTAAAATCACATGGTATTAAATGTGATTCACTGTTTTTGACAGACAAGAAAACTTTCTGGGTGGAAAACTTATCTTATTTCCTTTTATTATAACATCCTTCATTATAGGCTATTATCTAGGGTTGAAATTTTAAATAATATAGCCCTCCCTCCAAAACTAGTTTTTTTTTTCCAAGAACCTATAAATAAGAATCATCTTGGGGCTGGGGATGTGGCTCAAGCGGTAGCGCGCTCGCCTGGCATGCGTGCGGCCCGGGTTCGATCCTCAGCACCACATACAAAGATGTTGTGTCCGCCGAAAACTAAAAAATAAATATTAAAAAAAAAAAAAGAATCATCTTGAGAATTTTTAAATTTAGCTTAGAGTTAGAAGGTTAGTTCTAAGATTTTATCAAGGTTTTTTTTTTTATGGAGGAGTCAATTAAGCTATTATTTTCAAAATTCTTTGTTCAATTTTTACCTCCATTTTGTCAGTGATTCAGAGAAGAATATATTTGAATGCCCTTTGCATGACTGTTAAAAATCTCCTCTATATTTTGTTAATTCTCAAAATTCCCATGGAACATAGGTGTTGTGGTTGTCATTGTTGTTGGTGTTGGTGTTGTTATTACTGTTCTCACCAGGCATATGGAAAAGGGAAACTTAGATAGGTTAAGTAACTTGCTCAAAGTCTCTTCACTGGTAAGTGATGGCACCAAGATTTGAATGTAGTTCTGTCTGGCTTCAAAGCCCAAGCCCGTGCTTTCCAGCACTACATGTCACTGCTTCTGATTGTAGGAATAATAATATGATATCACAGTTGCCAGATACTGTTCTAAGAGCTTTTTATATAATATTGTATTTAATCTTCCTACCAGTTCCATGAAAAAGATAGAACTATTTTCAGCCTTGCAAATAGATGAAGAAACAGAGGCCTAGGGAGATTAACCAATTGCCCAAAGTACAGAGCTACAAAATAGGAGAATCAGATTCAAGTTCAGGTCACCAGACTTTAGAAGCCAGTCTTCAGGTGAAACCATCAACTGGTGTGAACCACGAAACTTTGTCTTCCAAGCTCACCTGGACTTTGGGCTGTCTTAGTAACTAGGTTGGCTTGTCCACTAATGTTCATATTATTGTTCATTATTGATATTACAAAGTGTAATGTGGCTTATTTAATTTTTGCAATTTGATGTGCTCATACAAAACATAAAACATTAAAGTCATTTGATTTCATAGGTTGTACTAAGCCTAAGGTGTCTATTGCTCACTAATTGATTGTCATATGAACTGTTGGTTTCTAAGTGCTTTTTGAATATGGAGTAAAGTTACCTTATTTATTTTGGTACTTCCATCAATCAAAAGTGAACATCTTCCTAAAACACACTTTTCTAATAAGGTCTAGAATTCCAGTTGTTATGTTGTGAGCAAAGTATAGTCTAAAAGGAAGTCAGTAAGGAAAGAGATCTCTATAACTGTGCCACTAAAGCATCTGACCTGACCCTTGAAAATTGCTCTCTAATATCCTGATCCCATTTTCTAGACCAAGAACGAAGTAGGATTTCTGAAAATGTCTTATATATAGATGTCTCTCAGTGGTTCTCTAGGTATTCAGAATAGGGACATCCTTATTTCTAAGATTCTATTCCTCACTGTACCAGAAGAATGATTGCTCACCATTGACCTAGTTCCTAACCCAGAGCTGCCCTTTCCATCCCATTTCATGTTCAGTGGTGAAAATTCAACATAGGCAAAACATACCCCTCAAATTACCCATGGCTTTGAGAGTTGAAATGAAAACCTGGGTGCAAAACTTCTCTATTCTCTTCTGCTCTGGGGGCAGTTTTAACATGAGCCAGAACTAAGGTTGTAAAAATCTAGGAATAATAATGAATGTTTGAAGAATCCATTCTAGTGAGCAAAGAAACCTACCTTAGGGTCATGGTCATATCTGTATCTTTTGTGGTTGTCAATTAAAAACCACCCAAAGTTATATATAGATTGCACCAATCATCCATGACCTAGGAAAAGGAACAGTAAAAATTTCAAATTATGTGTTTGATTTATTTATTGTAAGTAACAAAATTATTTTTCAATTTATTTATTTATTATAAATGTTATGATTAATTACACAAATCAATGGGTTTCACTCTGACATTTCCATACATTCATATATTATGCTTTAATCACATCCACCCTCCTTACTATTCTCACTTGCTCTCCCCTTTCTCCCCTTCCACTTAGTCCTCTTCCCCTTCCCTAAGAGTCCCTCTTCTACTTTCAGGTCATCTTTTCTTTTCTTTCTTTCTTTTTTTTTAAGTTTCCATATATGAGAGAGAAAACAAATGCAATACTTGTCTCTCTGTGTCTGGCTTTTTTCATTTAGTATGGGGGCCTCCATTTTCCTGCAAATGGTATAATTTCATTCTTCTTTATAGCTAAATAATATTCCACTGTGTATATACCATATTTGCTTTATCCATTCATCTGTTGTTGGGCATCTTGGCTGTTTCCATAACTTGTCTGTTGTGAATAGTGCTGTAATAAACATGGTTGTGCATATATCTCTTTTGTATGATGATTTTATTCCCATCATGTACATACCCAGGAGTGGTATAGCTGGATCATATGGTAGCTCTATTATTTTAGTTCTTTGAGGAGTGCCCATAATGGTTTTCCGTAGTCACTATAGTAATTTACATTCCCGCCAATAATATCTACATTTTCTATTCGGATCTTTAGTATGGGTATTTGTCAATATTTGAAAAGGTTGCTAAGTCTGAAAACCAAAGAAAATATAATCTTGCTTAAACTTTCAAAATCAGAGCTACCTTAACAAAAGAGTTTTTTGGAAAAAGAAATTTACATGACTGATAACTCAGTAAGGTTTTTTTTTTTTTTGAAAATGAAATGATAGATTTGAAAGTGAAGCAAAATGACAACGTGTTTTGCAGGCAGAAGATTATTTAATATTTTTAATGAAGATGAATCTGGATTGCAGCAATATAAGCAGTTATTTGAGGAAATCTTCAAGCTGTGTTCTCTTTCTTGGTGTTTGTCCTGCAGATCCTTTACCACCTGCTAGGTTTGGAGTCAGTAAAGAGAAGACTACTTCAACCAGCCTGCATGTTTGGTGGACTCCATCTCCTGGAAAAGTCACCTGGTATGAGGTGCAGTTATTAGATGATAATAACCAAAAGATGCAAGGTGTCCAAATTCAAGGAAGTACATCACGGAATGAACACACATTTTTAAACCTCACTGCTGGTAATTATTATAATGTTGCCATCACAGCTGTCTCTGGAGAGAAACGTTCCTCTACAGTTTATACCAATGGGTCAACAGGTAAGACCTGTATTGTCCATAGTTCATAGTCTATGATGCATTTGAGGTTATAAGTTATTCAAGGAATGGGAATGAGAATGCTCTTCAGATCATAAATAAATTAACTAACTAGCCCTTTGAAAGGAGGTAGTGTGATATAGTGGAAAGGCCAGACTGAATATAGGATGTGTGACTGTGATGCTGGCTTGTTGGGAAAACTTGAATAAGTGATGAAACTTCTCTGATTTGGGTTTATTCTCTAGTTTAAAATGGAGATGCTCCCTTCTACCTCCTCCAATTCAAACTCCAGGCAACAGGATTTTCTGCCTTATTTTCTGTTTGTGCCATAAAACTTGTTTTATAAATGTTTTTCTCCTTTGTGTATTCTTCTTAAATAACATCAAGTCATGATGTGTTCTACATGTTCCTATGTCTGAAACAAATCTTTGCTTCCATGATGTGGGGAGAAATAAGACATGGAGTGTACCCACATGGTGTCCACAGCTGTTTATCACCTCTTTCCAGAAAGTACATGTCTTTCATACCACCCACTCTTCCCTCATTCATTCTCTCTTGTTTTATCTCCCTCTCTTTCCACTTTTCATCTCCTCTGCTTCTTTCCTTTGTCTTTTCCACTTACTGCTATGCCATGTTGTACTTCATTGGCAAAAACTACCTTGATACCTATTAAATAGGTGATATAGACAAGTTCACCTATGATGTAGCTTTGGGCTGTAGACTTTGAAGAGCATTAATCAAGGTCCCATGAATTCCAGAGTGCTATTTTTTATTATTGCTGTTATACAAGTTAAGATATACCCAAAGCATTAGTGAATATGTGATTTCTTATTAAATGTGTCTATGTCTTCTCTAAGGGCATTATGAATGACATTTTGGACATGCGTTTTGTCCCACTAGTGCCATCTCCAGTGAAAGATATTGGTATTTCATCAAAAACTAATTCTCTCCTGATTTCCTGGTCCCATGGTTCTGGAAATGTGGAACAATACAGGCTGATGCTAATGGATAAAGGGATCCTAGTTCATGACAGTATTGTGGACAAACGCGATACCTCCTATACTTTTCATGGGCTGATACCTGGCCACCTCTACAACCTCACTATTGTGACTATGGCTGCAGGACTGAAGAACTACAGGTGGAAATTAGTCAGGACAGGTAAGTACCCCTTCCCTAGCTGAACAAGAATAAAGGTCACATCAAGTTTTAATCAAGTTTATTAAGTTATTTGAATAACAATGGTATAGGAAAAATTGAAATTCCTGTAAGTTATAAAAAGACCTTCATATATATCTACTTTTCTATGTAGAAAAATGAAGGAGTAGCTTTTATTCTAATGTTGAGGGTTGTCCTTGGCAACATTTTAAAGGAAACAAAGCTGATACAGTCCCCGTTTTTCTTTTTAGTGCACCCATCTCCTCCCTAAGGATTCCTGCTTCTGTCTCTGAAGCAAGCACCTATGTCTTTGTGACATTACTCACACTGAAACAGGATTCCTTCTCTCAGTGTCACATATAGACCTACTTCCAAGTGAAAGTCACTTCCGAAATCCTTTATCCACAAATACCTGTCCTAGGACTCAACACCACAGGACATAGTTTCCCAGCTACTCTAGACTGATCAACTAATCTGTGCCAAGTATTAATAGTTCTTTCATTCACCCAACCAATATTTATTGATTGTAACTGCTAGGCATCACTGATCATAATAACAGCTAAGACAGGCAATCGTTGCCCTGATGGAGCTCACATTCAAGTGCATGAAGTAAATTCAAATGCTTCTAGTGGATCTAATGTGTTAATAAATCCCACTTCTCCATCAATTGTCTAATTTTAAGATAAAAATCTAAAATTATTTAGTTACTTGGAAATTACTCCTATGAAGAAAGTTTCTGAAACTATAAGAAGTTGGTGGGAAAGATACTAGAGACACCTGTACATTTATATAGTTTTATAGCATATTTCAAAGATAAATATACATTTTTTTTAAAAAAAATACCATATATCTTAAGAGTTACTTATGGAGATAAAAACAAATTGTACTTCTGCCCTTGCAAAGTCAGTATGCTATGCCCATTCTTTTTATTATTTTGTAATTTGTCTTAATTAGTTATACATAACAGTAGAATGCATTTATGTACTTTGATATATCATACATAGATGGGATATAATTTCATATTTTTTCTGAGTGTACATGTTAAAGAATCACATTGGTTATGGAGTCATAAAGTAATAATGTCTGTTTTGTTTTACTATCCTTCCTATCCCCATATTCCCTCCTCTGCCCTCCTTTCACTTGTCTCTACCTAATCTAAAGTAACTCTATTCACCTCTAGTGTCCTGTGCCCCTTATTGTGAATTAGCATCCGGATATTAGAGAAAATATTTGGCCTTCAGTGTTTTGGGATTGACTTATTTTGCTTAGCATGATATTCTCCAACTCCATCCATTTACTGGCAAATGCCATAATTTTATTCTTCTTTAAAACTGAGTAATATTCCCTTAAATAAATACACCACATTTTCTTTATACATTAATCTATTGAAGGACACCTACGTTGGTTCCATAGTTTAGCTATTGTGAATTGAGCTGCTATAAACATTAACATGGCTGCATTACTACAGTATGCTGATTTTAAGTCCATTGGGTGTAAACCAAGCTGTGGGATAGCTGGGTCAAATGGTGGTTCCATTCCAAGTTTTCTGAGGAATCTCCATACTGCTTCCCATAATGGTTGTACCAACATGCAGTCCCACCAGCAATGTATGAGTGTATCATTTTTCCCACATCCTTGTTAACATTTATTGTTGTCAATATTCTTGATGATTGCCATTCTGACTGGAGTGAGATGAAATATTAGTGTAGTTTTGATTTGCATGTCTCTAAATGCCAGAGATGTTAAACACTTTTTCATATATTTGTTGATTGGTTGTATTTCTTCTTCTGTGAAGTGTCTGTTCAGTTTCTTTTCCCATTTATTGATTGGGTTATTTGTTTTTTGGTGTTAAGTTTTTTTTGTTGTTGTTTTACTTTGCTTTCAGTTTATTTTATTTTATTTTGTTATATATATGACAGAAGAATGCATTACAATACATGTTACACATATAGAGTACTATTTTTCATATCTCTGGTTGTACACAAAGTGAGTCATACCATTCTTGTCTTCATACATGTATTTATGATATATGTCCATCTCATTCCACCATCTTCCCTACCTCATTCCACCATCTTCCCTACCTCATTACCCCTCCCTTCACTTCCTTCCCCCTTTCCCCTTTGCCTTATTTAGAGTTCATCTAATCCTCCCATGCTTCCCCCATGATGAATCAGCATCCTTAAATCAGAAAAATTGGCTTACTTCACTTAGCATTATATTCTCTAACTCTATCCATTTACCTGCAAATGCCATGATTTCATCCTCTTTTAATGCTGAATAATATTCCATTGTGTATATATACCACAATTTCTTTATCCATTCATCTACTGAAGGGCATCTAGGTTGGTTCCACAATTACCTGTTGTAAATTGTGCTGTTATAAACATTAATGTGGCTGAGTCTCTGTAGTATGCTGTTTTTAAGTCCTTTAGGTATAGACCGAGGAGTGGGATAGCTGGGTCAAATGGTGGTTCCATTCCAAATTTTCCAAGGATTCTCTGTACTGCTTTCCATATTGACTACACCAATTTGCAATATCACCAGCAATGTATCAGTTTGCCTTTCCCCCCACATCCTAGCAAACACTTGTTGTTTGTGTTCTTAATAGCTGCCATTCTGACTAGAGTAAGATTAATGCTTTATCGGAGGCACACGTGGTAAAGATTGTCTCCCAATCTGTAGGCTTTCTTCTCACATTATTGTTTTCTTTGCTGAGAAGAAGATTTTTAATTTGAGTTGATTCCATTTATTGATCCTTGATTTTACTTCTTGTGCTTTAGGGGTCTTGTTAAGGAAATCATATCCTAGGTGAAGGATATGGTGAAGATCTGGGCCTACTTTCTCTTCTATTGGTGCAGGGTCTCTATTCTAGTGCCTAAGTCTTTGATCCACTTTGAGTTGATTTTTGTGCAGGGTGAGAAATAGAGATTTAATTTCATTTTACTACATATGGATTTCCAGTTTTTCCAGCACCATTTGTTGAATAGTATACCCATTCTTAATGAAACCATATTATGCCGTTAATGGGATCCAAAATTATAGCATGTGCAAGAGGTTAAAAAAAAATACACCAATCCATGGATCAACCTGTTTATTAAGTACTGGATATTATTGATGAGAAGAAATTAATCAAACGATAGACCTCTATTGTTAATAGTGTTTCAGAAGACTGCATTAAAAAATTTCAGAGCTGGACAGAACTATTTTAGGACCAGGATTTATTTACCAGCAAGGAACACTAGATGCAGAGAGAGAGCTGTCCGGAATCCTGAGGAGAGCTGTCCGGAATCCTGAGGAGAGCTGGCCAAGTCCCAACCAGAATGCAGCCTCCTGACTGCCAGGTTGTGCTCTTGCCATGAGGTTGCCTTCATTGGGTTTACAGTATTATTTTTGTCTCTCAAAGCAATTGTTTTCTTCTGATCAAGGAGTATGCCTTGCAGGAATTAAAATATAGGTCAGAATTTAGCCACAGGAATGGTAAGATATCCTGAGTAAAATCTCTTTTCCATTCTTTGCTAATTAGCTCCCATGGAAGTCTCAAATTTGAAGGTGACAAATGATGGCAGTTTGACCTCTTTAAAAGTCAAATGGCAAAGACCTCTTGGAGATGTGAATTTCTACAACGTGACCCTGTCTCACCAAGGGACCATCAAGGAATACAGAGTATTAGCACCTCAGGTCATTGAAACTCACTTTAAAGACTTAGCCCCTGGACGACTTTATCAAGTTACCATCAGCTGTATTTCTGGTGAACTCTCTGCTCAGAAGATGGTAATGGGCAGAACAGGTGAGTCTTGGGCTCCAGAATTTCCTTTATTGCCCAAGTCCTCTTCTGATTCATCTTAGAATAAGAAAAAATAAGACAAAATTAAAAAGGATGGAAGCTCCTTCTCCTACCTAGGAAGTAGGAGCTACATGACTGGGAGTGTCTGTGGGCCAGGGTCCAACAGACAGAGTAAAGCAGAGGCTAACTGCATTTTTTGAGTAATTTAAGCAAATGTATTTGGATTCCTGAATGATCTGCCTATTTTCACTGTTCTATGCTTTTTTCATGTCAATCACTTGAGTAACTTAAATACATTAACATTGGTATCAGTAAAAAAAGACACTTCTGATCCATTCTTATAATGAGGACCACTTAGCACTTAAACATGTTTTCCATAAATTTAGTAATTTATGGCATGTATGCAGTGCTTTAACTATATTATTGTTAAAATGTTTGAGACATTTGCCTTTAAGGCAGAGTTCTGCAAACTATTCCCTGTGGTCAAGTCTGATTGATGGCTTGTTTTTGTCTTGCCCCAAGCTAATGAGTGGTTTTTATATATTTAGAGAATTGTAGAAACAAACAAAAACACCAAGAAAAATATGAGATACAGACCATATGTGACCTGCAAAGCCTGAAGTATTTACCATCTGGCCCAACCTTTGCTTCAAAGAGGCTGCATTTTAATCACACAGATGTAGAGTACACAGCTGGAAGGAGGAAGAGTAGCTGCAGGGAATTTTCACAGTTAAGACAGGGGGGATATGAGTTCTGAACTTGAAGAGCCACAAATGCAAGTGAAGCACTTGACATTTTATTCTGTAATTTTTTAAAGAAAACTTGAGTGTTTAGAAGCAAAGGAGTAATATGATCAGAGCTATATTTCAAGAATATTATTATTTTCATTTGGAAAAGAGGAACATTTCATGACCACAATATCCAGTATCTCTTCCAGAAGATGCCACATCTGTCAATGTCACCATCATTAGATGCAATGTCATTATTTTCTCTAGGGAAAGCATGTAATCAATAAAAAACGGCATTCATATCCCTCTATTGTTAATAGTGTTCCAGAAGACTGCATACCTGTTAATTTACTAAAATGGTTTTAGCATACATTTCTTGAGTGTCAGATGTTTCCAGAATGAGAAAGGAATACTCCCTTGTCCTCCATGGTCATCAAGAGGGGATAGCAGTCTTTTGAATTGCAAATATTGTATGTCCCATCTACTGTTACCCATGAAAGGCAAATGAATATTTTTACTTAGGTTTTTAACACCTTCTTTTTGACATTTTATTGTTTAGTTCCAGACAAAGTTAGGAACCTAGAGGCAAACAACAATGGTTGGATGAGGTCCCTCATGGTGAGCTGGTCGCCCCCTTCTGGAGACTGGGAGCAGTATCGTATCCTGCTCTTCAATGACTCTGTGGCACTGCTCAACACCACTGTGGGAAAGGAGGAAACACAGTATGTCATGGATGGTGTGGGGCTCATACCCGGAAGACAGTATGAGATAGAAGTCATCGTTGAGAGTGGAAATATGAAGAATTCTGAACGTTGCCAAGGCAGGACAGGTAAGCAAATATGAAGGTGTTCATGACTCATGGATATATCCTCTCCTTCCCAAGTAACCCAGGAAACTGCCAATGTCATATCCCAGTGTTCACTGAATTTGAGACTTAAATGGCTTGAGCATTTGGTCTTTCAAAACTGTGGGGTTAACACATGCTTCACTCCACCTAAATACTCATAGATTTTTCTTGATGGTTTTGTGGATGACAAGATTGTACTAAATATTTTTGTATCACAAAATACACAGGAAGAGACAAACTCTAATTGAGTTACCTAAGATCAAAAATAAATGATTCTTTAGGTGTTGTCCAACAATATTTTTTTGAATTTTTATTTCTGGTTATGTTACATGGAAGAGTTTTTGTGATAAACCTTTTTTATTCTAAAGTGCTTAAGTATTCAGAATAGAAATGTTGAACCAGAACTCTTGAGGTTGGAAGAGAACAGTTCCTTAAAAAATACTCTGTGTGTGCATCTGAGCTAATCAATGACTCACCTCATCGTTACTTTTTCCTCAGTTCCCCTGGCTGTCCTTCAGCTTCGGGTCAAACATGCTAACGAAACTTCACTGGGCATCATGTGGCAGACCCCCGCTGCAGAGTGGGAGAAATACATCATCTCTCTAGCCGACAGAGACCTCTTACTCATCCACAAGTCACTCTCCAAAGATGCCAAAGAATTCACTTTTACTGATCTGGTACCTGGACGAAAATACACAGCTACGGTCACCAGTATTAGTGGAGACTTAAAAAATTCCTCTTCAATAAAAGGAAGAACAGGTAATAATCTTTATACATCTTAGATTTTACAATGTACTGTCTGATGAATTATTTAACATTCAATTTACAAATGTTCATTAAGTACCATGTTTTATGGATTTCTAATGTGTTTGCTATTTTACCAAATTCAACTCTTATCTTCATTACTCCCTTCTTTCTATTTTGTTTGGGTTTATTTTTTGTTAAAATTGAAACAGAGTAGAGAATAACCCTCCGGTGGAATGCTTTTTAACAAAACAGAGCAAAGAAATAGGGCAGCACTGAGAAGAGAGTATGGTACACAGAAGTGTGTTAGATTTTCGTCACTGTGACAAAATACCTGAGAAAATCAACATAAATCTAGAAAGATTTATTTTTCAGTCCATTGTCATTTGGCTCCATTGCTCTGATCCTTTGGCAAGGCAGATTATTATGGCAAGAAGTACTCACCTCATGGCAGCCAGGAAGCAAAGAGAGAGGGCAAGAAAGGGGCCAGGGACAAGATATATCCTTCCAGGGCACTCTCCTTGTGACCTACTTCCTTGAACAAGGCCCTACTTCCTGTAGTTTCCACCACCTCCCAATAGTCCATTCAATTATGAATCCATCAATGGATTAATCTATTGATGAGCTCAGAGTCCCCATGATCCTATTACTTCCCCAAGACTCCACCCCTTACATATGTGTGTGTGTGTGTGTGTGTGTGTGTGTGTGTGTGTGATTAGCTATGCTGCCCAGGCTGGCCTTGAACTCCTGAGCTTAAGCAATCCTCCTGCCTCAGCTTCCTGAATAGCTGGGACTACAGGCCTGTGCCACCATGCCCAGCTACGCTGTCAAATTTTACATTCCCATCAGCAATGTATGAGCATTCCCGTTCCTCCACATCCTCAGCAGTACTAGGTTTGGTCACTTCATTTGTTTGTTTTAAAATTAAGCCATTCTAGTAGGTCCGTGGTATCACATGTGGTTTTAATTTTGCCCTTTCATAATTTCTAAGGGCTTTGTGAATCCTTTTGTATGCTTATTCACCTCTGTTTATCTTCTTTGGGAAAGTTTCAGTTCAAATGTTTTACCTGCTTTTCAATAGAAATTTTTTGTTTCCTTATCATTGAGGGTTTTTTTAATATTATTTTTGTTAGTTGTTAATGGATCTTTATTTTATTCATTTTTTTATATATGGTGCTAAGAATCGAACCCAGTGCCTCACACATTCAAGACAAGTACTGTACCATTGAGCCACAACCCCAGCCCTGTCATTGAATGTTAAGAGTTCTTTGTCCTAGACACAAGTCTTATGTCAGAAATATGTGTTGAAAATGCTTCCTTCCAGTCTGTGGCTTGTTTCTTCATGATAGTAGGAGTGTCTTTTACTAAATAGAAGTGTTTAATTTTGGTCTCCCGTTGATCAGTTCTTATAGATCATGCATTTGGTATCCAACTAAAAAACCTTTGCTTAACATAAGATCACAAATATTTTTTTCCCTAGAAGATTTATAGTTTATACTTTAAATGTAGGTTTATGAACCATTTTGAGTTGATTTTTATATATGGTATGAGATATGGGTTGAGGTTTCATTTCTTTGTATAAGAAATGAAATAATTTCTAAGAAAATAATGTATCTAATAATTGCAGAACTATTTGTTGAAAAGACTGGCCTTTCTCCACTAAATTGCCTTTGAATCTCTGTAAAACAAATCGACTAATATATACATATGTAAATACATATATGCAGACATATGTATATGTATTTGTATATACATATATATACATACATACATACAAATACATATACATATAACTGCATATATGTATATACATAAATGTGTACATTTTTACACACATATACTTCCCCTCACCATTGGTCTATTTTGAACTTTCAGTTCTGCACCATCACGTCTTGTTTCAGCCTCTTGCCAGTCATGCTATCTTGATTCATTTAGCTTTCTAGTGAAATTGGGTGATATTAGTCCTCCAACTTTGTTCCCTATTTCAAAATTATTTTGGTATTATAGTTCCTTTGCTTGCCATATAAAATTTCAAATTGGAAAGGAACTTCGGATCCATATTATAGTAGCATTTTTATTGAATATGTTTGTATCTTAGTGAACTTTGAGGAGGAGTGTGCTAGAGTTTTGATCTCTTTGATTATTATAATTTAAGGAAGAAGAACAAATAAAAACATCTCTCAATAGAGTGCCAACTTCAATATCTGTGTAAAAGATTTGCTAATGGATAGGTAGAAAGCAACGATAATTGCTAATTAGAAAAGGGTCAAAAGTTTAGGGGTTATGGTCTTTGGTTTTCTCATTAGTAAAGAGAATCAACTTTATAGTGTTTTGAATGAGCTATCAAATAATACAACCTCTATAATACATTCAGCCCATAACTGGTGCATGGTAGATATTCAATAGTTGTTATGATCATCATCATTATTTTAATGAGCATATATAAATTTATATATATATATGTTCATACATGGACATTGCATAATTTGGTAGACTTCAAATTATCATTATTTTAATATATAATAGTGTGGTTTATATTATTGTAGGATTTTTGGGTATAATAATAATAGATCTGAGAATGTGCCAGTAAAGAAGCAACCAGTTTGCTAAACCATAACATAATCACTGGGTTGAAAGGATTTCCTAATACCACCTATATTAACCCTTGGCTTAAAGTGATCTCGTGGCTTTGAGTTCTCATGGGTTAAGAAAAGAGAAAAGCATAGAAGCCTTGCATCATGTACAAACAGAAGAATGAGAAGTTATACTCCATTTATGTATGATATGTCAAAATGCATTCTACTGTCATGTATAACTAATTAGAATAAATTTTAATAAGATTTTAAGAAGAAGCCTTCAAATACAGCAGCCTTCACTATTTAAAATTTAAAATCAAATGGTTTAGTAAGTAAGCATCTCATCCTTGCATCCTAAATAATTTTTATTTCCTATCTAAACCACTTTTTCAAAGTAGTAGAGTCCCTGTATAGGAGCACTTCTCATATGCCATAGGAAGTAGAGCTGAGGGTCTATAGCTAAAACAAACAAATTCATTTTTAGTGCTCTCAAGTCTGTCTCCATTTTTTCGCCCACTTTAATTACAATTTCTTAGAGTAACTAAGTGTCATTTGTTTTGTCTTTGGTCTACTGTGTTTTAGTACCTGCCCAAGTAACTGGCCTGCATGTGGCCAACCAAGGGATGACCAGTAGTCTATTTACCAACTGGACTGAGGCCCTGGGAGACATAGAATTCTACCAAGTCTTACTGATCCATGAAAATGTGGTCATCAAAAATGAAAGTGTTCCCAGTGAGACCAACAAATACAGCTTCCACTCTCTGAAATCAGGCAGCCTTTACTCCGTGGTGGTAACAACAGTGAGTGGAGGGATTTCCTCCCGACAAGTGGTGGTGGAAGGAAGAACAGGTAAGATGCAACATGTTTGTATTTGTAGCTTACGAAGATCTGAGTCCATAGTCCCCCATCACAGAATTATTTAAACATCCTAAAGACAAACCCAGTTAAGTGTATCTTAGAAGCTAGGAAGTATCCATATACATGGATAAACATTAGCAAAGTTGTTCAGTAAGGTGTATATAATTTTTTATGTAAGTAGGCTTTGGGGCTTAACTCACAAATAACAGTAAAATTAGAAGGATTCTCGGAAGTCAAATTCCGCCTTTATATGCCATATTCTGGTATATTGACAATTACATAAAAATATTGAGCTGAGGTTAATCAACTAATGATGAAAACAGTAGTGCAGTTCATATATTCTGTGGGATTTTGTTCTGGTATTCACGAATGGCAGTACTATTTACTAACACTTACTTCTGATACATAGCACAAATGTTATTTTATACCATGGTTACTAATTTACCATCTGTCTATTTCTAGTCAGGAAGCTCCTTGAAGGTATCCACACTTTCTGTTTTCATATACTTGACAAATAGTAGGTTCTCAGTAAAAGTTTGTGGCGTTTGGTCCCCAAATGACATAAGGAAACGATTATAGTTGACACCTTTCCAGAAAGGTTGTCTCCATCACAGCTGTATGCCCACATTTGGTCCAGTTTCCAGACTTACTGCATCCAGAGTAGGCTTTGAGGCTTATATCTTGCCACTAGAGGGCAGGAAATACTTTGCAAAGGGAGAACACAGTACCACCACCACCACCCCTCCCCAGCCCCGGTTATGTTAGCTGTCAAACTCCCCAGGAATAAATGATTTCTTCACATGAAGATTGAAGGTATCCCAAAACCTACACACTTGAGAAAAGCTGTTCATTCTCCACCTTTTCCCTCAAACATCTGTGCTTTAGTGAAGAGTTTGGTTCAGGTTGATTCATTTGGATTGTTGAAATGTCTGTTCCCTTTCCTATAGGGGATTTCTTACCACATTCACATAAAAATGCCTCCACTGAAAATACTTTACACACAGCAACCCCATAAAAGTGCAGTAGCGGCATCCTTGTATTTATGAGGCATTGGAAAGTTTCCTTGCATTTTTATTTTGGTTAGCCTTCTGACGTAGGAGCACTCAGCTGCTAGAAGCTAAAGTAAAATCCTCACACTTCCTTGACCTCTTCTGTAATCACATTAGCTCTCCTCAGATCATAGTTTCTGCTGACCACATAGATGACTTGGACTTTTGATCATTTTCCTTTTTAAATTTTCTCCCCTTTTAAAATTACAGTCCCTTCCAGTGTGAGTGGCATGACGGTGAACAATTCAGGTCGTAATGACTACCTCAGTGTTTCCTGGCTGCCAGCGCCTGGAGACGTGGATAACTATGTGGTGACCCTCTCCCACAACAGCAGGGTGGTTCAGTCCCTGGTCATTGCCAAGTCTGTCAGTGAGTGTTCCTTCAGCTCCCTCACCCCAGGCCGCCTCTACAATGTGACCATAACTACAAGGAGTGGCAAGTATGAGAATCATTCCTTCAGCCAAGAGCGGACAGGTAAGGGTGTGTGAAGGTACAGGGCTCCATAAGAACCAATAGGTTATATGGCTCAGGGCATCACAGAGCTGTGACAATCCTGTTATGCTAGGATAAAAGGCAATTGAGATCACAAACGCCTTATGCAGAATTTGGATTTTAACCCAAGAAACTCCCTATGTGAGTAGACATGACCTGTAGAGGAAGATAAACACAATTTTTGTTAGAATTCACATTCTATTCAAATCGTTTAACAAGTATTTCTATTTAAGGAGTCTTTTTAGTTGCAATGACCTGGTTTACATATGTTAACTAATCCTTAGAAACTCCTTCTTGAGGCAGTTGTTAGGATTCCCATTTTATAGATCAGGAAACCAAGGTTCAGGGAGAGTTAAGTAACTTGTCCAACTGTTTAACTTATTAAACAGCCACTAAGTTTTAGATCCTGGATTTAAACCTTGTTCTGATTGACTCCAGAACCTACAAAGCTCCCTGTTCTAAAATCCTTTCTGAAGTGTCTGTTGGTCAAGACAACTATTCATCCTTTCTCACAGAAGGTAAAAATGTGAACCTTTATAGTTCTGAGACTAGGGAGCAGAAATCTTAGCAAATGAATGTCAGGTCTTTCATGTGCTAGAAAGAACTAAATATAGACAGCTACCGTTTTCCCAATATATTTAGGCTTTCTGGGGTTTACATCTGAGTTTTTGCTTAAGGTTGACGTCACTATTTTGTCAAATCTTTTCTACTGAGCTCTGGGTTGATTTTCACATTTAAAAATTCTCTTTCTCCATGATGATCTGGGACGATGGGCATCATCCTGTTACCTGGCACAGAGTCCAGGGCCTGGTAGGCACTCAATAAGTATTTGTTGAACTAATAATCAGAAATCACTTATATCGGGGGTTTCACCTGGTGGCCCTGGGTGGACTTTAAAAGTGTAGTAACTCATGAAATTGTTGGGGATAAGAAGGATATGTGCATTTATCTGGGGAGAGAGTTCCTGGTTAGTATCAGATTTCATAGTAAAGAACCATGGATTTACCTTGTTACCAGAAAACTGGCATTAAATGTGTCCTTAGAATGATGTAATCCCATCTTCTTATCCAAAGATAAAATCCCAGAGAGAAAGTGTGACTTCTCCAAGGTCACATGGCTGTGACCAGTATCGGAGTTCCGCCATTACATCATGCCATACCTGAAAGCTCTCGTGGGCATATAAAGAGGTTATCCCTACCCTCATATCATTTGAAGTCTAATCATTCTGATAATCACAATGATAGCTTAGATCTGAAAAGCTGATTTCTTCTCACAAAGTAATCGTATGTCACTGTCTCCTATTAATCAACTCAGATCCTAAAAATCACTAGAAATTAAAGAAGATTGTCACCCAACTTCTAACCCCTTGCTACCTATAAACACCAGTTCATTCATGAGCATTCCCTATCCCTTTGACATTAACATTGCAATGCTTTTTGCTAAGAGTGCTTCTAAATGTAAGAAAAGTGATCCTCGATTCAAAGCACTCTCTTGACTCTGAACAGCATGAGCTTGAATTTGGTGCATGACTAATGGAGGCAAATGATTCTAACTGGAAAGTCATGTCAGAGTTGTTGTCTTGTTGATTTTGCCTGGTTATCTTAATTCCCTTTTCCTTTCCTAATGCCCTTCTCCTACATTTTGAGTGAAAATACCAATATTTCTAGTTCTGTATCTCCTCATCTCATCGTGCATCAAAGCTCTTCTCACAAATTACCTCTTGTTCCACCTGGAGAGCACCTTATTGACTTAGCATGGTATTCAGCCTAGTTTTTCTTCCTGTAATAATTGCTTCACCTTCAGTAAATTGACTGGATCATTGACCTTTCTTAGCTCACCCATACAGTGTCAATTCAGAATTTCACCTTAACTCTGGTGAGACCAAATTCTAGCAACAGTGTAACTGGCTTGAGGTGAATGTCATAGCATACCTGTCCTTGCTGTATATCTGTGGTGAGCTATGTTCTAATATAAAACTAAACAGTAAATATAATCCAACAAAGGATGTTAATGCAGTTTTTAAGTGTGAAAAGCATCATGAAAATATATAGCTTAGATACCAAAATACTGAAGTTTCTGGATCATTTGGGAAAAAATAGAATATTTGAACACAGGTTTGGCATGTGGTCAAAGCAAAAATCCTTTAATGTATACCAAGCCACATACAGAGGTTTTACAGGCCTAGAGGACATGATAAAATTGGGACATAAGTTTAGTATGCTGGACCTAAGTTTATGCCTCTTTTCAATGCCCCTTCTCATGAATATTTATAATGTCTGGTTATAGCCAGACAGAAATGAATCTGTGATCTACTATTAAAGCAAAATTCAACTCCAAATGAAAAAATGAGAATATCCTTAATATCATGCTTTAAATACCGTATTGCCTTATTTACAGTGTTCTTAGTAATATGCATTTATCTATTCATTGATTGAGGGGAAAAACTGTGTTTGCTTATGTATTTATTGTGGAAATTCAGATACACAGAATAGCATTAATTATAATTCTTGACTCAGAAAAATATGCATCAACCGTCATTATTTTTTGTCATTATTTTTTTTCTTTGTCATGGTTCTAGGAATTGAACCCACAGCCTTGTACATGCTAGGCAAGCACTCTACCCTTGAGCTACCTCCTCAGTCACGTTTATTTTTTTGACATTTAGTTAATAATGTTTTATAATTTAAGATGTACATGAGAAACTACTACAAAAGTTGAAAGCTAGGACTTTGACAATGATCTGTATCAAATCATGTGGCTTCCACCCCATTAATCATTCCAAGGTAACCAGTATCTTAACTCACATTTACGTCTCACTTACTTCCATCTTACATAGTTTTATTGCATTTATGTACAGTTCTAAATTTTAAAATTTTAGTGTCTTTAACATTGTAAAATACAGTATGTATTTTTAAAATTTTAGTGTCTTTAACATTGTAAAATACAGTATGTAATCTTTTAGGGACTTAATTTTTTTCATGAATTATATTTATAAGATTCATTCATATTTTGTGTCTTGATGTTAAAGGCAAGAAAGCTACACCTTTGTGTTTTAAATTAAATAGAAGACATTAATCATGACATGTTTCACTGTGTATACACAATAAATCATTATCCAATCTTATAAGTACCATTTTGTATGGGCAAACAAGAGGATTAGAATATGTTCATCAGGTTATGTTAAAAGATCCATTTAATCACCCCAACGGGCATAACAGTCTTTCCCCTTGAGATTCATGATCAAGAGGTCTAAGATTTTTCTTTTAAATGCATACAGTAAAAATCTAGTCACTTTATTTTATTGTCCCAAATGGATCTGATCAATTGCTAACTCAGAATCACTAAGTCTTTCACTGTTCTCTGTTTCAGTGCCTGACAAGGTCCAAGGAGTCAGTGTTAGCAACTCGGCCAGGAGTGACTACCTAAAGGTGTCCTGGGTGCATGCCACTGGAGACTTTGATCACTATGAAGTCACCATCAAAAACAAAAACAACTTCATTCAAACCAAGAGCATTCCCAAGTCGGAAAATGAGTGTATATTTGTTCAGCTAGTCCCTGGACGGTTGTACAGTGTCACCGTTAGTACAATAAGCGGCCAATATGAAGCCAGTGAACAAGGAAATGGAAGAACAAGTACGTGAAAAATTTGCAAAATCTTTTTTTTTTTTATTGGACAGGAAGGTCACTGAGTAAATAATATATCTGAGCCTCGCATTTTCTCCACTTACTGATTAGTAAATTGCATTCCCACTAGTCTTACTTGAAGCTAACTTCATCCAGCCAAGTCATGGCCTATAATTACAGAATATTTATTGGTAGATAAAAGCAAGCATAGTGGAGGAGTAAGAAGGCCAAATGTTCCATTTTTCTTCCCTGTCCTCCTGCACTATGGCATTAAAATTCTAGACTTCGTGTTTTATCTTATGATTGAGATCATAACTCATTTTATAATTATATTCTACCAACATGTAGCATTTAAGATTTATGTCAAGAAAAAAAATCACAATTTTAATAGTTGCTTCCAATTTTTCTTGTTTAATTATGCATGAAGTAGCTTGAGTGGTTTATTTGGGGAAGAGAGATGTTTGCCAGTTCCTTGAATGTGATTCATAAATTATTGTGTAGGTAAACTCCAATCAGTCCCTTTCCTGAAGTATCTTCTCATTTTCTCCTTAGTCCCAGAGCCCGTTAAGGATCTAACACTGCGGAATAGGAGCACTGAGGACCTGCATGTGACTTGGTCACGAGCTGATGGGGACGTTGACCAGTATGAGATCCAGTTGCTCTTCAATGACATGAAAGTATTTCCTCCTTTTCACCTTGTAAATACTGCAACCGAGTATAGGTTCACCTCCCTAACACCAGGGCGCCAGTATAAAATTCTCGTCTTGACAATAAGTGGGGATGTACAGCAGTCAACCTTCATTGAAGGCCTAACAGGTAACTTAGATACTGTTCTTGAACCTGATTAGATACAGTGGTGTATTTAACATACTGGGTATCCCAGGTATTTCGATGAATTTGGAGTGGTAAAAGGGAGATGGCAAGAGGGAGAAAGTTATCTTGATAGTGACAATGACATTGTCCAAGCTGGATTATTAAAGTTGAAATGAGACATGGAGGAGGCTTTCAAAGAAGTAACATTCAATTGATAATCTAGCCGGTGATGGTGAGATACACAGATTATATTATATATTTTAATAAATAACTCTCTTGCTTGACTGTCACTTCTTTGGAACTCATTTAGGACTGTTGCTATAATAGTTGATATTTATTGACAGTTGGCCATGAGCTAGACCCATAGCAAAGCACTTTATATCTACATTTTGTTCAATCCTCACAACTCTATGGGTGGTTATTATTATCATCATTACAATTTTTCTTATGAGAAAACTGTAATTTACAAAGATTAATTAATTTTCCTATAGTCACACAGCTAGTAAATGAGTAAACCAAGACTTGGAGTAAGGCAGTCTAACTAGCCCCTTGCTACATTACTAATGTTCTTCATTTCCATTCATTAACCTTGACCTCCCTCTAAACTTTCCCCCATCAGCTTCAAGTCAGGCAGGAAAATTAGAGAAAAAAAATGGCAAATTGATACTTTTTTGTCATGTCCTCTTTTTCAGTAGATGCCAAAACATAAAAAGCATGATATTTGTTTTTGTTTGTTTGTTTCCGTACTGGGGATAGAACCCAGATCTTCATGCATGCTAGACAAGGTTCTACCACTGAACTACACCCCCAGCCCTGCCTGAAAACTTTGGTTGACATTTTCCATAGTTCATTCTCTAAGTGATGACTCTTTTTTAAAAAAAAAAACTATTTTTATTTGTATAAAACTGAAAAGAATTTTACTATAAAAAATAATGATAGCATTTTGCAAATTTATCACAAAGGGGTATCTCTATCTGAGGAAATAAGCATGCTATGCTTGGAGAGATGCAATGTTACAATTTGTACACCAAAATGAAAAATGAAATCAAATGAAAAAAATGAAATAGTTACCAAGGAATGCAGGTTAGGGGACCAAAGGGGAAGGGTCACATATTATCCAAAAGAAAATAAAGGACAGCTGCATTGTGATGGCTCATTAATGTTCCAACGGTGCCTCTCTTTTGGTAAACTTGAACATTTCTGCAGACATTCAAGCAGCTTTTTCTGTAAAAAGGTTTTGCATGACTACTATTGCTGTTCCCATGATCATCTTCTATAGTGGTCACGGTGTTGAGGACACAGTGGGTCCTAGTTCTCCATGATACACTGTGGGAAACGCTGTTGGTCGATCTCCTCGGCGCACCATGTCCCCTTCCTTCCTCTCGGAACCTGGACCCCCAGCACGTGCCTCCCAGCCGCAGCTGCCGCCCTTGATGGCTTTTAAATTTCTTTTCTTTTCTTTTCTTTTTTTAGTTCCTAGTGCTGTCAAAAATATTCATATCTCTCCCAATGGAGCAACAGATAGCCTGACAGTGACCTGGACCCCAGGTGGCGGAGATGTTGATTCCTATGTGGTGTCGACCTTCAGGCAGAATCAGAAGGTTGAGTCTCAGACCATCCCCAAGCACGTCTCTGAGCACACGTTCCACAGACTGGAGGCAGGGGAACAGTACCAGATTGTGATTGCCTCTGTCAGCGGGTCACTGAGGAACCAGATGGACGCACTGGGGCGGACAGGTGAGCGCCCGCCTGGAGGCCGGCCAGACTGCAGAACGCTCATGGTTCTCCACAAAGGGTCGGTGAAGGGGCTTGGCTGTTCACAAGTTGAAACTCCAATTATAAAACCACCTAAGTTTGTATGCTTCACTGTGGTTTCAAGAGCCTTTTTCATTTTTTCTTTGCATTTTTCTTTCTTAACAGAGATTTCCAAAACAAATCAAAGGTAATTGGAAGCCAAATCATTTGAATAATTTTTTTATACTACTAAATAATGTAAAAATTTTAACAAGGCTTCATAACTGCATTTCTCAAAATTTCAACCTTCTCTCAAAGTTCTTTAAGAAAAAATTTGTTCTTCTGCCGTCTTCTTTATCCATGAGAGATAAAGAACAAGTATCAGATGAGTGAATAATGGATATCTTTATTTATGTTAATATCATCATTTTATGTATTATTTTTAAACAAAAATAAGTTCCTGCAATATACTAGACATTTAAAATGATATCTAGTCATACTATAAGGGAGATCATTTCTCTATCCTACAGATGAGGAGAGTAAGGCTCAGAAAATTTATGAAGCATTACCAAGGATACATGTAATGACACCTAGAGCTACAAATCAAATCTAGCTCTTGCACTATGCTCCCTCTACCACGATGCAACACTTCTTATGCTTCCCATTCTCAGGAGCACTTATTTTGTTCTGGGACCTGGGGTTTTTATGCCGTACCCTCCTCTGCCTCTAGTTCATATCTAGAGCTATACCTGTTACCTTGATGCAAGCAAGGGATTATGTTAGAAAGTGGGGATTCAGTAGAAAGATAGAGCCACTGACCTCAAGAACCTTATAAGTGAAGAAGACAGAGAGGTAAACAGGCGATTACTGTACAAATTATGGGATGTTATGTGTTATGGGAACCAACAAGAAGAGTCAGTGAAAGCTTCTAATAGGAAGTAATGTTTCAACAAAGATCAAGAGGTCTTCCAGCTCTTCCAGGTGAAGTTTAAGTTGACTTAGTTACAGCAGAAAAAGCAAAGACCTGGGGGTGAGAGAAAGCATGGCACATTTGAGGACCCATATGCTACTCAGTATGCTAGAAATAAGAATGTGAGCCATGTAGCCAAGTAAATAGATAGATCAAATCATGAGGAGCCTTGTATACCTGATAGGGTGTTTTAAAAAATACAGAGAGCCATTTAAGTGCTGTCAGCATGATAGTGCTGGGAGAATATGCTAGGTGAATCCATGGGAATAACAAAGTAAGAGACAGTGGCAAGAAATGCTGTTGTCCTAAGAGAAGGCGAGAATAAATAAACTCAAGATATATGAGATATAGTACATGGAAATTTTAAGACTTATGTTTGATTCTCTGTACGAAGGTAAGAGTGACAAACTAAGTGTCTCACTTGGGCCAAGAGGTAGAAATATAGGGAAATAAGAAAGTTGGGGAAGGGAGATGAGGAATTCAATTTGAGCATCATCAGTTTGGGAGTCATCAAATTTGAAAGTCATCATTATGTGAGTGACAATTCAAACCATGGGAATGAATTAAATCTTCTAAGAAGATTATTTAGAATGAAAAAAGAAATGAACCTAGAATGGAAAATATTATTAAAAATATTATTTTGCCTTGCACATCAGGAACACAAATACTATCACCTACTACTGCTTAAATCAGGCTGGAAGTTTTGACATGAGTTAATATTGGGAGTATAGTCTAAACATGACAGTTCAGCCATCCAAACTATTCATTGTGTGAAAATTTGTTCAGTAGTCTTTTTGGAAACAGATATGCATCTCTGTGTGTTCTTTTGTGTCACTTTCACTAACTTTTCTACCTGTTGGAGAACCAAAATAGCTATTCAGGCAATTCAGGCCAAGAAATGCTCGTTCCTCTTTACTCCCAGAGGACACACAGAAATAATCAATGTGACATAAATAAAGCAGAGGCATTGGTATTCTACCAGGAGACTTCAGAGAGTTTTTTCTCAATTGATTACTTTATCCTAAATGATATTACCTGAGTTTTCTTTCTTCTCTTGTTTCTTTGTAGTTCCAGCATCTGTCCAGGGACTAAGTGCAGACAATGCATACAGCAGTCATTCCTTAATAGTAAGTTGGCAAAAAGCTGCTGGTGTGGCAGAAAGATATGATGTCCTGCTTCTAAATGAAAATGGAATTCTTCTGAGTAACACATCAGAGCCAGCTACTGCTAAACAGCACAAATTTGAAGATCTAACACCAGGCAAGAAATACAAGATACAGATTCTAACCGTCAGTGGAGGCCTCTTTAGCAAGGAATCCCAAACTGAAGGCCAAACAGGTAATTAGTATCATTTAATATATTTTACCATATATCTCCTTGCCTGCTATTGTATAAGACCATAATATAAGAGGGGTGAAGCTTCAGCCCACCGCAATCCAATTTGGATTTTTCATTAAAGCTGTCTGTATTAGTTTCCTATAGCTGCTATAATAAATTGCCACAAACTTAGTGGCTTAAAACAACACAAATTTATTATTTTATAGTTCTAGAGATTTAGAATCTGAAAACAGGAAAGAAATCAAGATGCCAGGTGTCAGTAGGGCTGTGTACCTTTAGACAGAGAATCTATGCCTTGCCAGCTTCTAGAGGCTGCCCACTTTATTGACTCATGGTCCCTTCCATCAAGGGAATCATTCCAACCTCTATATCTGTTGTCACATGTCCTTCTCTGCTTTCCTGCCTCTTTCTTCCATCTTTTAAGAATTCTTGTGTCGGGCCTGAAATTAGGAACCATGGAGCAGAGACTTTGGTTCTCCACCATTACCTCCCCCTGCAGCTAACTACCTGTGGGTCTTTGCCACCACCAGGACTGAGAGCTGGTACCACAGTTCCTGCCACTGTGTTTTCCTGCTGCCATCTCCCACTGCCAACTGCCACCTATGGGCCTGAACTACTGTCCAAGAAGTAATAACAGATCTCAAATTATTCCAGAAAATCATAAAGGGAGGGAATTCTTCCAAATCCATTTTACAAGGCCAGTATTACCCTTATCTCAAAACCAGACAGGAACCCAACCAAAAAAAAGGAGTGAGAACTCTAGACCAGTATCTCTAAAATGCAAAAATTCTTGACAAAACACTAGCAAATCAAATCCAACAGCATATCGTTGAGATCATTGATCATAAGAGGAATTTATCTCAGAGATGCAAGGATGGTTCATCATAGATATATCAACCATTATAATACACCACATCAACAAAATGGACAAAAATCTTTAGATAATCTCAACTGATGCAAAAAAAGCATTTGATACAAGTCAACATCCCTTTATGATAAAAATTCTGAACAAATTAATTGTAGAAGGGACATATTTCAACATAGTGGCTATAATATAACAAATCCTTACCCAATATCATAGTGAATGGGGGAGAAGCTGAAAGCTTCCTCTAAGATCTGGAACAAAGCAAGGATGTCCACTTTTCCAGTGTTAGTCAACATAGTACTGGAAGTCTTAGAGTAATTGGACAAGAAAAAGAAATAAAAGACAAACAAATAGGAAGGGAGGAAGACAAATTATCCTGTTTGCAGATGATATGTTCTATCTATAGAAAAACCTAAAAACTCTCTCAAAAGACTATTATATCAGATAAATTTGATAAAGTTACAGAATATAGACTTAACATAAAAAATAGCATTTTTGAGCACCAATAATGAAATTGCTGAGAAAGAAATCATAAAATGGAATCCCATTAACAATTGCTGCAAACAAAATATAGTGACTAGAAATACATATACTCAAGGAAATGAAAGACTTCTACAATGAAAAGAATAAAACTCTGATGAAAAACATTGATGAACACACACACACACAAAATGGAGAGACCTCCCCACAGCCAAAATCTAGAGAAAAGAAACAAAGCTGGAAGTATCACACTACCTGACACCAAAATATACAACAAAGCTGTATGGGACTGGCCTAAAAACAGACACAGAAGAGAGAACCTGGAAATATCCCCCATGCATTTGTAGACAATTGATTCTCAACAGAGGCACCAAAATCCTACATTGGAAAAAGGACAGACTCTTTAACAAATGGTGTTCAGAAAACTGGATATTCACATGCAGAAGATTGAAACTTGACCCCTATCTCTCATCTTATACAAAAAAATGAACTTGAAATGAATTGAAGACCTGAATGTAATACTGGAAACTATAATATACCAGTAGATGAGTAAGAACATTTCAAGACAACAGTATAATAAACAATATTTTAAATAAGACCCAAAAGCTCAGGAAACAAAAGCTAACATAATATAGTATATGTATGAAGACACGAATTGTTGTGAATATACTGTGTATACAACCAGAAATATAAAAAATTGTAAAAGAAAAAGAATTTAGTTTTTATTATTATTAAATGTGAACAATGATTAGGAATTCTAAAAAAGAGAAAAAGAAAAGAAAGAAAGAAACTAAAATGCTTCTGCAGAGACACAATCACCAGAGTGAAGAGATAACCTAAAGAAAGGAGAAAATATGGGCTGGGGATATAACTCAGGTTGGTACAGTGCTTGCCTTGCATGCACAAAGCCCTGCATTCAATCCCCAGCACCATACAGAAAAAGAAAAAAGAAAAAAAAAAGAAAGAAAAGACAAGACAAGACAGAAAGGGGAAAATTTTTTTTGCATGAAATTCATCTGACAAAGGATTAATATTCAGAATATTGAAAGAACTTAAAAACTCAATAACAAAAACCCAAATAATAATACAATTTAAAAACAGACTCAGGATACGAATGGACACTTCCCAAAAGAAGAAATTCAAATGGCCAATAAATTTAGGGGGGAAAAAGTTTGATTTCATTAGCCATCAAGGAAATGCAAGTCAAACTCACAATGAGATATCATGTCACTCTAGTTAGAGTGGCTATTATCAAAAAGACAAGAAGTAGCTAATGTTAGCAAGGGTATGGAGAAAAGGAAACTCTTACTCTTGGTGCAAGTGTAACCAGTACAGCCACTATGAGGAACAATATGAACTTTTAAGGGGTTGGAATAAGGAGAGGGGAAAACAAAAAGAACTGGACAAAGGAGAACTCAAGCAAAATCAAGACAGATGCCCTTTTCTGTTTACATCCACATCTCAAGACTCAGGCCAACCCAGAAGTGAGTACTTTCTAGCAGCTCTGGACCACCTTACCACCAAGTGCCACCGAAGGCCAAAGGTGTTGCAGAGTCCCAATATAAACCATTTTTTTTAAAAGTGGCTTTGACTTTTCCTGTTGTTTTTCTTTCCCATATCCCTAAGCCTAATTTCTCTTTCCATTTGTTTTTCCTTTCTTTTCCATTTTCTTCTCCCTTCTTCTCAATAACCATATCTTAGCCTTTGTGGAGACTCAAAGACAGTCTTTTGATCTCTAATCTAGTTCTCAGTGTTAGAAAAACATTTAGTCAGCCACATCAGATTATTTTAATTCCCAAAAATGTCTGTGAAGATAATTTCCCATTTCTTTTTTTTTTTCACATTTTCACATATGAATTTTATTCCATTGATAATTTCCCATTTCTGTATTGTTTTGATTTTGTTGTTGTTGTTGTTCTCTGTGGCTTTGTTGTTTTTTTTTTTTGTTGTTGTTGTTGTTGTTTTTAATTAATAGCTTCAGCATCAGTAATTCAGACTTCAGGTTTTTTTGCTTTAGGCCTCCATGAAGTCAGTTATTTTGTGTGTTTTTTTTGACAGGTAGTAGTATTTATTGGTGGAAATGATGAGGGAGGGGGTATCACATTAGAAGGCCTCACAAATGTAGAGCCCACCACTTGTCCAGGGGAACATGACTGGGATGTGTTGGACCTCATACCCACAGGGAACAAGCTGCTTCTCAGCCACCACGTCTTCAGATTCATCCTCATTAAACTCAGGGAAGCTCCACTTCTTCGAGATGTCGGTCTTGTGGTGGCCAGGAAACTTGAACTTGGCGTACTGAATAGGGGCTCAGTCACATGCTACTTGTTCTGTAGCTTTGTATGGATGGACATGATGACTTGCCCAATGTGAACCCTGAATGCCATGCCCTGGAACTTCCCAAAGGTACTCCACATACCGTCTGGGGCCTTGGTTGGGAACAGTTCTGGATCAAAGACATGAATGTCCACTGGAAAGGGCTATCATCAGTGTCCGAAAGGGCAACCTGTATAAACAGCAGACTGTGTACTCTACTGAGGAGGGTGCTATTCACAGCCATTGTAAGTCAACATATTTTAAAGGCAGATACCACCTGGCTTGGGTTGAGTGCACCCACCCATTGTTAATCCTGTGTGGACCATGTCAGGGACATGCCAAAATTTAATCTCATTCTGTCACTTCTTGACTTTTCCAGTCCCAGCAGCTGTCACCAACCTGAGGATCACAGAAAACTCCACTAGACACCTGTCCTTCAGTTGGACCGCCTCAGAGGGGGAGTTCAACTGGTATAACATCTTTCTGTACAACCCGGATCGAACACTTCAGGAGAGAGCCCAAGTGGACCCACAAATCCAGAGCTTCTCTTTCCAGAACTTGCTACAAGGCCGAATGTACAAAATGGTGATCGTGACTCACAGTGGGGAGCTGTCTAATGAGTCTTTCATATTTGGCAGAACAGGTAAGACCCAGAGACCCAAGCAGTAGTAAATAGCAAGAAAGTTCTCCCAATGCTCACTGCCTCTTCCTTGATTTGTCCTTAGTTCCCTATTCTATCGAGGTAATAACTTTGTATAATTCTTTGACCTTCAGACTTTTGACCCTAAATCAGACCTTTGATGATAGATAAATAATTTGTGGACTGTTTTTTTTCCCCACTGGCTTCTGGTTTATTTATTTATTTATTGTTTCCACTTATTTTCCTCCTAGTGCTTGATGAAAAATGGATATGGCTTCTCTTCTTGCCAGCAAACTGTGCACGAGGGTTGTAATCCAACATGGCTCTATTTAATCCGTGTCCTTCAGCTTCCTACAAAAAACATAATTCAAGCAGAGGGCAGGTCCAGAGAAGGGCAACCACAATTGAACAAGCAATGATTGCTTTGATTGGAAACATAGCATTAAATGAAATAAAAACAGGATTCCAAGACAGAGAGGATCTCTTTGGACTGCAAATAAAAATGGAATCTCCTGTTTTTCTAGATAAGGCCCCTGACCTCTGAGAACTCTGCACAAGGGAGAGAAGAGGGGGCAGGGACAGCAGATTTCGAAGGGGAAGGACATTGGAACACCTTAAATTCTTTGAAAGAAATGAACACTGTTGTGACAGTGACTTGGCAGGACAAGATAATACTTTAAACAGAGAAGGCAGCTTAACTGAGTCCCGAAAATGAAAAGAGCCTCGTAAAGAACATATCCCAAAGGCACCCAAGAGTGGGCCATTAAAGGGAATGAAAAAGAGCAGTGGTGAGCTTAGAGGACAAGTAGAATTGCCTGCATGTTACCATTTCCAGGGCAACCTGCCCTCTGCACATTGTCTCTTACCTGCTCATTGATGTTTGAAGCTCCTCCAACAAGGGGCATCATTTTTTACTGACCAAAGAACAACAAAGCTTAAATATGCATGGAGCAAGTGGCAGGTGCCTGACTTATACAATAGTAGAAGTGACAGTTAACATTTCTTAAGTGAGGTTGTACCAATGCATATTTTAATAACAAAGAGAGTAGAAAACTAAAGGCAGATGGAGAAGAAGTAAAGAGACTCAGTGTCTGGGTGTTTCTTTCCATTTAGATGGCTCAGAATAGAAGGAGCTAGAACCATTAATGAACATTTTTCTGGGCCTTTTATAACCTAAGTGACAAACTACTTGGTTAAGTATTAATAATTCATAAACGTTTCATTTTACCTGTTTGTCTGGATTCATGTGGCAACCGTATGGAAACCACCACCTGTTTTGTTTTAATTTGCACCACATCTACAGCCCACATGCCCCATAGCATAAGTGACCCAAAATGTAACTAAGAACTGACTCTACAATGTGTTCTTACTCACCTACCTGACCAGCATAGCTCGTATTCTTACCTGTGGGCCAAATACTTTACTTCTCTTTTATTCACAGTAAACTTTTCTTCTATTTAAGTCCCAGCCCCTGTGAGTCATCTCAAAGTATCCAATCGGAACATGACAGATAGTCTTTGGTTCAGCTGGAGTCCAGCTCCTGGGGACCTCGACTTTTATGAACTGATTCTCTACAATCCCAATGGCACAAAAAAGGAAAACTGGAAAGACAAAGACCTGACGGAGAGGCGTTTTCAGGGTCTTGTCCCTGGAAGGAAGTACACACTATGTGTGATAACTCACAGTGGAGATCTCAGCAATAAGGTCACAGGGGAGGGCAGAACAGGTAAGAAGCCCAATCACCAATTGCCAAGTGTTGGTGAAAAGCAGCTTCCTAATACACATTTTAACTATGTCTTTAATGATAAATAAAATCAATGATGCGCCATGTACTAGTTCCTGAAATGCAAAAGGCACTAGGGTACAATGAATAAGAGATACATTCTTTGGTCAAAAATAACTAGATCCTTAGCTTTGCACTGCCACTTAATCTCTATGAAGCCAGATGGGTCACTGAGCATTCAGATTTCATATCTATAAAATGGAGATAATGATAAAAATCATCATTGTGTTGCTATGACCAGTGCTTCCTAAAGTTTTTATGTCTTGAGCACACCTATATTATATCTGTATGCTACCTGGGGTCAATCAACAAAGCGATCTAAAACTGGACATAATTATCTATGAACCTCAGCCATGCGACCCAAAATATAATGGAATCAATATCCTGACACACTTGTAACATATTCAGGGAATATTCATGCTCTATCTGACCTTGGGTAAGGAAGCTTGGTTATGAATATTAAAGAAAAGGTACATAAAACATTTGAGGACATTGTCTTATACATAATAAATACTATAAATGAAAGCTCCTACTATGTCATTATCGTTATCAGTGATCGTATTTGTATATGTTATGGCACAGATGTGATTATGTGACCTTTCACTTTCTCCTACTTACAGCCCCAAGTCCTCCCAGTCTTTTGTCATTTGCTGATGTTGCAAACACATCTTTGGCCATCACCTGGAAGGGACCCCCAGACTGGACAGACTACAATGACTTTGAGCTACAATGGCTCCCCAGAGATGCACTCACTGTCTTCAACCCCTACAGCAACAGAAAATCAGAAGGACGCATTGTGTATGGTCTTCGTCCAGGGAGATCCTATCAATTCAGTGTCAAGACTGTCAGTGGAGATTCCTGGAAAACCTACAGCAAACCAATTTCTGGATCTGTGAGAACAAGTATGACATGTTTTTCTTTTCTTGAATTTCGGAGGGAGTGAGAGGAAGGATATATTCAACATCTTATCCCAACGGGGCTTGGTTTGAATATACTTTTTTATTTGAGATTGGTTGGATTTGAATTCAGGTAGAAGTCTCCATGCATTTCTTCATTCATTAAACATTGGAATTTAATATGAAGAATTTATTTGTACCCTCATGGAGCTTGGGTAGGAGATATTATAATTGAACAGATAATTATTCTTTGATTATGATAAGGGAAGTAAATGACACTTTATAAAAATGTGTATTAGGGGCATCTGAGCCAATACAGGAGAGTGTCCTAGAAGAAGAAAATCCAAATTGAAATATAAAGAGAGAACAGGATTTATCAGGTGAAAGTGGGGGAAAGAAGTGAAGAATATTGCAGATAGGGACAATAAAATATTGCAAGTCAGGGAGGAGAGGGAAAAGTCTGCTAATAAAAAAGCAGAAAGTAGTTGGCCAGAGAATGAAAGGTGAGCATAAAGAGAATCCGATCATAAAATGTCTTGTATGCTGTGCTAACAACTTTGAACTTTATTCTGAACCAATTGGAGCCACTCAGATCTACAGAAATAGTATAATCATATTTACACTTTAGCAAGTCACTCAGGGTACATTGCAGAGAACAGATTGAAAGGGGAAAACTAGCAGCAAATAAATCAGTTAATACCCAGAAAATGTAATTTCCTAGATCAATTATTGGTTGTTAAAATATGTAGTTGAAAATCAGAAATTTAAGCAAGAGTTTTTTTCATTTATTCAATAAATATTAAAACTATGACAGGTATAACTTGTGCTCAATTTTGTATCAAAGAGCAGTTTGGGATCAGATAATTATGTGTGAAAAAGAACTAAGAGTTCTGGTTCATAGCAAGCTTAGAATGCGTTTTCAGCGGCTTATTTTAGATGGTGTCAATTGAATCTGTTAAGCAGAACACCACACACTTGGTTACCAAATCCAGAATAGGACTCAATACTCTTGCCCCTTGCATCTTGGTATTGGAGTCACCAAGTGAAACCCAGTGTAATCAAGCACTGGGTAGAACAAAGCTTTACTCACATGGAGAAGAGAAGAGACCAGACAAGATCAGATTCAACAGCATGCGTCAGCCCACCCCCCCCACCCCCGTCAGTGGGTCTCTCCAGATACTGTTGCTGGGCGAGTGGCAAAACACACCCCTCAGAGGCAGTAGAAGTGTTCTGACCCCCTCCTCAGAGGACAGATATAGATAGTCTTGGTGTTGCCAGGGTACTCTGTGATGCAGAACAAAAAAACATATTTTGAGCATGCAAATAGGAAAGAAGTTCTCACACAGAGTGATCAGCCCAGTACAAGCCATGGGGCTCTTGATCTCTTGTGAGGGAAATGTTCTAGCACAAGGTTCATTTTTACATAGCCAAGTGGGGCAGCCAATGATTGCACAAATAAGACCACCTTTCCCAACAGCTTCCTGGCTGCTCAGTTTAAGAGTTCATGCAATGCCAGTAGAGGTAGGACTTGTATGTCACATCTGGACTATTATATTCCCATCCTATATGCTGGAATTTAAGAGCAGTATTTGCTAAATGGGGCATGCTCCAGAGGAGAACAACCAGCCCAAAGAGGCACTCAAATCTGTGTTTTATAAGTAACAAATAAAATCATATATTTATTTATCTAGGATTGTATTAAAATTGGGTAGGGCTGTGGGTAATACAAAACCTAAAATAACAGAGGCTTAAACAAACTAGAAGTTTATGGTTTATAGTTCTTATATAAAACCATTTCATGGGTTGAGGGTGTGACTCAGAGATAGGACATTTGCCTAGCGTGCACAAGGGGTTCCATCCCCAGTGCCTCAAAAGAAAAAAAATCATTCCAGTTCTCACTTTCTCACAAATATGCTCTAGCTATGATGAACAATTTGCAGTTATTATTTTTGCTTATTCTTATCTTTGCTTTTCTATAGGTAACATGTTTTTCTCCTTTGGCTTCTTTCAGGAGGTTATCATTGCTTTTCTGTAGTGTGAAAAATATGCTTACGTGTGTATTTTGGACATTCATCCTATTTGGTGTTCTCTGAGCTTCCAGGATCTCTGGCTTGGTGTCCAATATTAATTTGTGGCAAATTCTTAGTCACTCTTGTTTCTCCTTCTGATATTCCCATGGTGCCTGTTTTATGCCTTTTATATTTGTTCCCTAGTCCTTGAATGTTCTGCTCTGTTTTTTTCAGTCTTGTTTTTGTTTTTTTTTTTTTTGTTGTTGTTGTTTTTGTTTTGTCAGTTTTGCAGGTCTCTAATGTAGTTTTGAGGACAGCAGTTTGTCCTGTGTCCTCAAGTTCAGAGACTCTTTCCTCAGCCATGCCCAGTCTACTAATAATTCCATCAAAGTCACTCTTCATTCTTATTACAGTGTTTTGATCTCTAGCATTTCTTCTCGGTTCTTAGAATGTCCACTTTGTATCACCTGTCTGTTCTATTGTGTTGTCTACCTCATCCATTAGAGCCTTATCACATTCATTCTTGTTTTAAATTCTTGGGCAGATCGTTCCCACATTCCTGTCATATCCTCTTCTGGTTCCAGATGCTTCTTCATTCTTTTCAAACTATGTGTTTTGCCTGTTAATATACTTTGTAAATTTTTTTTATAACCAAACATAATGTACTAGGTAAGAGGAATAGCTGTGATAGGCCTTTAGTGATGTGGTAAGGTGGGGAGGGAGCTTTGCATGGTGACTACATGAGCACATCTTATTCCTTTAGAGAGCTGGTACCTATGGACTGTGCATCACACAGTCTATAGGTACCATCACACAAGGGGATTTTTCTCCCATTTTCATTGTGGGAACCTGGTTAAGTTCCCATAGCTAAAACTCACAAACGTGTGGGGGCTCCCACATCTGGGTCATCCTGCGGTTTCTAGCTCTCAAACATACCCACACTCAGCCTCCAGCAATTCTTCTATTATAGCTCTGGTTTTCCTACCTGAACACCAATTCCTGTATTGGTCCTCAGCTCATGAGTGCTTTGGTGAACCCTAACTTCCATATTCACTTCCATAGTCACTTCTCTGTCTCTGTAGTTTTGGGGGACAGCAGTTTGCCCTGTGTCCTCACTTCTCTTACAGATCCAAGAAGATTTGCTAATTTTGTGTCTGATCAGCTTTTTATTTGTTGGGATAGAGTGGCAGCTTCCAAGCTCTATTCATGCAGAACCAGAAACCAGAGCAGTGCCCATTTCTTAGTGAAAAGGGATGTGACTTGAGTCTTGGAAGACAGGGAGGATTTAGAGGTCAAGGGGAGAGAGAAGAAATTGAAGGAAAAGGTTGAAGTAGATTCCCATGATATTCTTTCTGCAGATTATTAGAATTATGGATTTGGCAGGATGCCTTGAAAGATTTTCTCCAGTCTGAAGAGAAAGGTGTCATTGGGACTCAGCTGTGACTTATTTTGAAGGGAGTTCAGCAGATCAACAAGCAGTTAGTGTTTTGAAAGACACAATTATTGCCTGCCTCAAGACCCAGTTCTTCCTCTATACCAAAAAAAAATCTTTGTTAGTTTTTTCTTAAAGTCATCTTCATCTAACTCCTTGTGACTTAGCTGACATTTGTAGACCTTAATATGAAAGAAGAATTAATTTGGTGTCACACATGATGGATGAGTCAAAGCTGTGATTGTTTAGCACAAGAATTTCCGTAGCAAAACATGGTCAAGAGAAGGTGTGTTGCATTACAAAGCAGAGTACCACGTATTGCCATTGTAAGGGACTACTCAGTCTACACATAGTTCCTAAAATTCATCTATGTAACTAGTCCTTCATGAGTTGAAAGAATGACCTATTCCACAAGCAACACCAGGGTCACCAGCTATGCATGCACTCAGAAGCGCATGCTTAGAGAGGCCTGTACTTGCCTTAATTCTTTGATGTCAATGGCTTAAAATTCGTAATTTTGAACATTGGGCAATGCATTTTCATTTGGCACTGAACCTTGAAAATTGTATAGCTAGTCTTCTCTACAAGGTCTTTAAGTGGATATATAAATTTAGTTTGGGGAGGTGGAGGAAGGGAAAAGTAGGGAAAGGATGAAATTTTGTAAGAGGGACCATAAAAACCCAACAATAAAGTGAAATTGTTTTTTCCCATTCAGTTCACAAGAGCCATCATAACTGCCTTTTGCCTTATTTTTCAACTCTCTTCCTACAACATACAGTGTTGCTGTAAGCTTATTTCATAGGTTGCTCTCACTGATTATTGCCATCTGAGAATTTACTGTATTTTGTGCTGTGGCCAATAGAACAATTTACCCTTGAAATTTACTCCTTACCAAGGCTTTCAACTCCTGGAGTGAAACGGAGTGGCATAGACCTAGTTTTCAAGTTCTAGTCCAGAGTCTGAGAGTTCCTGAGAAATTCCTGGAAAAAGAGAATATGCAAGGGGAGGGCTTGACCCCATTCTGGCTTAGCATTTCTGAGCCCTGAAAGCACTTACAACACAGGACCACAGCTCTTCTGATTTTATGTATTGGGGGTCTGAGAACTTTTCTTGTTTCAATGACTCAGTTACTATAATTAAAATTCATAAACTACTCATCTCAACTGTCCAGTTTAGCTTCATAGCATGTAATTAGAGATGGTAGACATACAGCTAACTGGGGGCGGTCTCAGAGTTTGGTTACTAACTTGAACAGTCTCATAAGAGCTTTTCTTTCAGACTGAATCTTTTACTCATTGTTGTGTCATTCACAATAACAATAGATCAGCTACCATATATTGAGTTGCTACTATGTGTCAGCTACTGTGTTAAGCAGAAGAACACTGGATGGTGATAAGCACAGGGGGATAGAACAGCATGACATGGACATACATGGGAAGCCACCACACTTTCAGTGCCTGAAGCTGTCATGTCAGCAGAGAGGGGCAGGCAAAGAATGGAGGAGAGAGACAGAAGTCAGGGTCTAAGGGATAAAAAATTGATAATGCCATTTCCTAATTTCATCATTATCAGAGCTTACATTTATTAAGTAATTACTATGCCAACCACTGTTCTAGGTGACCAGTCATGTCCACCATTGAGAATCATTATAATAACCACACGAGGCAGATATTTTTAATTTCCTCATTTTACAGATGGAACATAGGGAGGTAAAGTAATTTGCTTGAGAGTACAGCGCTGGTAAATAGAATTTGTATTCAGGCTGACCAAGTCGCCCTTTTAACCTCAAAACTCCTCTTCCTCACCTTCTACCTGATTTCTGCCACGTGATTTCCGTGTTTCTGTGTACATTTGTGTTCCCAGTCATGTATTATTTGGTGATTTTCTAATGGGACAGCATTTTAATTTTCAATATTTTTTTCAAAGTGAGGTCTGGCAGGCAAAAATTCTCTTGAAGACCCATAGAATTTTTTTTTCCTTAAAACACCATCCAAATAAATGATGAAAACTATGTGTTGATGGTCTGGGGTTGTGGCTCAGCGGTACAGCGCTTGCCTAGCACATGCAAGGCCCTGGGTTTGATCTTCAGCACCACATAAAAATGAATAAACAAAATAAAGGGATTGTGTTCAACTACAACTGAAAAATAAATATTAAAAAGAAAACAAAACCCTATGTGTTGAACTCTCAGAACTAGTTGGGCCTAGAGGAGCTAAAAACCAAAATAATCTTCCCCAGTGCTGAAATGCGTCTCTTTTCCTGTCTCCTTTAGAGCCAGACAAAATACAAAACCTGCACTGCCGGCCCCAGAACTCGACAGCCATTGCCTGTTCTTGGATTCCTCCCGATTCTGACTTCGATGGGTATAGTATTGAATGCCGCAAAATGGACACCCAAGAAATTGAGTTTTCCCGAAAGCTGGAGAAAGAAAAATCTCTGCTCAACATCATGATGCTGGTACCCCATAAGAGGTACCTGGTGTCCATCAAGGTGCAGTCGGCCGGTGTGACCAGTGAGGTGGTTGAAGACAGCACCATCACAATGATAGACCGTAAGTGTCCCTGGAGCTGTGTGTGGAGCCTCCTGTCACACAGGACAAGGGGCTTTGCACCTTACTCCATCGTATCCAGTCCACTATTCACTTGCACACAGTTCCCTTATACATAAACTTGTCACTTGGAGAAGAGGACCCAGAAGGCTCCAGAAAATGGAAACATTTTTCTGGGTAAAATACCCTAACAACAAACAAGTGAAATGATCTTAAAAGTACCTGAATGAGTTAGTATCTAAATACATCACTTTGCCTTATATAGTTAGAGCTATAATGGAGCTTTGAAGCAATTTGATGCTTACAACTTCAGGAAATCCTGCTGAGGAGCTGCCTCTTTCATTATATTTAATTTGCCACTGGAAAATCACTTCCTCTGCCTGCTTGCCTTCAGGAAAGGAGAATTTCTTGGCTGCAAGTTTGAAACACACACACACTGTGTCACACGCTGAGTCTGATGTGAGTGAGTGGAGTCCATTTCACTGACTTGGGGAGTTGATGAGAGCAGCATTGTGACCCCTCTTGGTTCCTTCCCCACCTCTTTTTCCAGGTCCTCCTCCTCCACCCCCACATGTTCGTGTGAATGAGAAGGATGTGCTAATTAGCAAATCTTCCATCAACTTTACTGTCAACTGCAGCTGGTTCAGTGACACCAACGGAGCTGTGAAATACTTCACAGTGGTGGTGAGAGAGGCTGATGGTAAGTTAATGTGAGTTAACTAATTCTACTGTTAGATGGAGAATTGCTTTCTCAAAGGTCATGTGGGGGCTCCTTCCATCACAAGTTTTTAAGAGTAGAAAAGTTAATTTTGATATCATTCTGCTCTGTCTCTGCTGGATACAGGGAGTTGTAACAAAAAAAAAAAAAAAAAACTGCTCCAAAACTCTTATGGCAATAAAGCCAATTACCTTTGGGCCTAATGATTAAATAGGAAGTTAATAATCATAACCATAACCATCATTAATTGAGCCCTTACTATTTACCAGGCACTATTGGAGGTGCATGGTGTGTATCAACACACTCAGTCCTCTCACAATTTATCAATCTTGATTGTTACTCTTTTGTTCTACCATTAAATAGCAATGTGCCTCAATTCTTTGCCCTTCTCTGTCTCAAATACCACAACCAACTATATACTCCCAAGTCACCCACCAACTCACAAAAATATCCAAAAGCTTGAAAGAGGCAAAAGGTGTTCATGAGAAGCATTCCTTCTTTACTGAATTTAGAATGGTATGACTCATTCTCTAGTTTCCTGAATTATTCAGTGGCTAGCTAATTCCTAAAATCAGGATAAATACTAGGTAAAAGTTATCACAACATTCCATATAACCACTGAGTGTGGCCACAGCTTATTATATCAGCATTTGTCAAACTACAGGTAGGAGAGTTATATTTGGGGTATGCATTTGCCATTGAGGTCCAATGTGTTATTTCTCCAAAAGAGATGCTTGTGCCTAGAATGATATTAATATATGTTACTTCCATAATATTTTTTCAAAAGTGTTTAAGGTGCTGCACAAGAATTTCTTAAGATTGTCAGGGGACAATTTTGACCCATTTGTAGGTAAGGAGAGAACTTTAAACCTAACAAACACTGGAGCATTTTCTAGGCTAAATGGTATTTTGGTCTCACTGGGTCCCTAACAGTCTGGGTGCTTTTACATTTAATTTAATTGTACTAAAGTTGGTTATGCATAATTGATTAAATAATTTCAAGGGTCAGTAGTGCATCCCAAATTTTCTCACACCTCATAATTGAAGATGAATTTGCAAACTGTGGAAAGACTTAAAATTTAATTAGGCTGCAATGAAGATAATGTTTTACTACATGAATATAAGAAGGTGACCAAAAAGAAGTCACACCAACAGCAGCTTTGGGTTCTGCAGCCAGATAGATGGGTTTCCATTACTGGTTTCCATGGAGATGGGTTGTGATCCCTTGTGATCCTTAAAATAATAGTTCATCTCCTGTAAATGTCACGCATAGCATATATGCTCATTCTAAAAGCAACATTCCTTTTCAACTGTTGCCAACAAAATATTTCCTTTATAGGAAAAGAAAATTAGTGACAAAAGAACTAATCAAATGCAAGCAGTCATCTGTCACCTGGGTCTTGGATTTGCTTGTCTGCAGGGAGCTCTGCCAGCTGGAGGGGTGTGAAAGAGGGAATTTGGGAAAGAAGGGAAACCAAAGAACATTTTGAAAGGCAGACTTCAGGATTTAGGAAGGGGGACATGGGAACTTAGGAAAGTGAAAACAGAATTAAAGAAAAACCCATAAAAGTCTCTACTTGGACCTTTGATAAATGGGACTTGGGAATGTGATGTTGGGAGGACCTCAGTTCTTGGGATTAAAATCTCTCAATCCCTTCCTTCTCCTCTACCAATCAGTCTGCATCCTCAGACAGAGCATTAGTAGAAAACTGATAACCAAAAATAATAATAATGATAATGATATTTCCAAGATATACTCATTGTGAGCAAATTTTATTAAACAAGAATACAGGATAATGAACCCCACAGTACCACACCTTGAAGTTCATTGTAAATGGTATCTAATCTCTATAATATTTATCTTCCTAATTATGCTTTTCTACCGCCAACATCAAAATTAGTTGACAGAGCCAAAACACACAGCAGGCTGGGTGGACAAGGGAGGAGTTCTGGGAAGTGCTCTGAGTGACGGACCAAGTTTGAGCCAGGACTAAATTGTACCCAAGATAACAGAGAGCCACACAGAGCAATTATCAGACTGGGAATGGCATGTGGAGTGTTCCTTGTGGGACAACTGCTCTGGCCAGGGCCATGATTTCTCTTATCTGTTCTCTATTTCCCAGGTCATAGGGGTTTCCTTATTAGCTCAACTGCAGTGGTTATTGGCAAGGTAGAGAGCTTGTGGAGCCGGTCCACTCTCTCAATGGGGAATTAATTGTCCAGCTTTCTGGAATTACTGGGTACATTCTCATTCTTTTTACCCACATTTTTTGTTGCTGCATTATAGTTGTACATACTTATGGGATTTTGTAGTTACACATTAGTACATGCACACAATATAATTTGGCTAATATTACTCCCAAGCACTTCCCTCTGGGTTTATCATTTGATGTAATGACCTAATCTCATTTTATTTTCCTAGAAAAATGATGATATACATGTGTGTGCATATTATGTATACAAAATTTCTTTTAGAAAAAGTGAATTAAAGTTAATTTCATCAAAAGACTTTCACAGCAATCACAGAATCTGCACTCTGGGATGACCAGAGATAATGGATAAGGAGGCAGCCTTAGAAACCTAGCTAGAAATCACTCAAGCCACAAGAAAAGCAAGTCCTTAACTGTGGGTTTTCTCCTCCAGGCAGCGATGAGATGAAGCCAGAACAACAGCACCCTCTCCCTTCCTACCTGGAATACAGGCACAATGCCTCCATTCGAGTGTATCAAACCAATTATTTTGCCAGCAAATGTGCCGAAAGTCCTGACAGCAACTCCAAGAGTTTTAACATTAAGCTTGGAGCAGAGATGGATAGCCTAGGTGGAAAATGCGATCCTACTCAGCAAAAATTCTGTGATGGACCACTGAAGCCACACACTTCCTACAGGTTAGATGCATTACCATTGTTTTGCTAGAAAGGATATGCTACATTACAGGATACTCAGCTATCTGAGCATCTGCTGGATGTGAGCTTCTGAGATTAATAGTCTATGTTACAACAATACTCTACATTTTGCTGGGTAATTTATAAAAGTTGGTTTTCTGCCTCCATTCTCAGGTAATGTGTAAAGAGAGCTTTCAGCATTCTGCAAAAGTCACAATTTGTTATGTGAAAAACTGAAGAATTTTAATAGACTGTTTTTTTCCCTCCTACAAATTCTTTAATATGAGTCAAATAATTTATGACCTTCCCTCTTGTGAAAATGTTCAAATAGACTGAGTTTAAGGAGACTCGAACAATATGAGTTTATATCTTCTGCTCTTAACGAGAACTGGAATTATTTAATTTACCTTCTGAGGCATGTAAAGATGAAGATGTTTTGTGGTTCAGCAGAACTCTGAAGGGAAAGAGTCCCTGAATGAGTTGGGGACACCCTTTTTTCCCTCTGAGATGGCAGGCGAAAAACAGCAGCCATTTGGCCTTGGCTCCGGGAAGCACACTGCCACTTGTAGGCCCTTGCAGCCCTAGAAATTGTCTGTGCTCTTGTTCTGCACTGTGTTTCCAGAAAGTAAGTAGAAGCGGAAACATGTAACATCCCAATCAGCATCCTCAAGGGAAATGGAGCCTAGACTATAGACTTGGATACAAGTCCATAGGCATCCAAAATTATTACTTCTGTAGAGGATGTACCCTTTCTGCTGGGTGTTAACAGAACTGATACCCAGACAATATGGCAGCCAATTAGGTTCTGCTTGGGCCAGTTCCTGTTCTGGTTGGTGAGTGCTAAGGTCTTATTGACTTGTAAATATTTTGAATATCACTCCTAAGTCTCAGTAGAAAGATCTTTTCTGCCATTTCCAAAAGGAGACTCAGTCATAACATCACACTTAAGAGTTCTTAGTCCCTCCACATCAACAAATGCAGGAAAATGTGTGTAGTTATCTTTGCCCAGGACTCACCACAAGCTTGCTATTACCTCCCAGGCAAGGTCAGCACCTCCAGAGTAAACATGCACAAACTTATTATTGTTACTTACTTTAAGACATATGAGCCTACTTGAAGGAGAGATCATTTTAGGGCAAAGAAGAAACATAGGTGAGATCAAACCACTGGGATCCTTTAGTTCCTCTAATTAAAATATGCCTCAGGTCCCTGGTTTCTTGGGTTCAAGGAAACCTGAAGTTTCCTTGAACAAGTCTCCCAAGAACACTTCAGAGGTGGAAAATTGAGGCTGTTTTTGTTTGTTTGCTTATGATGGGAAAGGAGACGATGACTCCTTACATTAGTCTCCCTTTATTCAAGGAGGATATGTTCCAAGACCTTTAGTGGATGCCTGAAACCACAGTAGTACTGATTGCTTTAATTTAATGCTTTTTCCATTTTGACTAAATAATTATCACGCATGTGGCATAACTTTCGTAATTTGAGTTGTGTCAACAAAACTAGTACAAATGTCTTTTTCCCTCTTCACAATTTCATGGGTCAAAGATTCTTTCTTACCATAGACCTTAGCAACCTCAGCATATGATTTTTTTTCTTTATTAAGAAATTTCAGGCTGGGGTTGTAGCTCAGTAGTAGAGCGCTTGCCTCGCACACATGAGCCCCTGGGTTCCATCCCCAGCACCACATAAAAATAAATAAATAAAAATAAAGATATTGTGTCCATCTACAACTAAAAAAAATATTTTTTAAAAAAGATCTTTCACATTATATACCTAAAGGAAGTACTTTGAAGCTTCTCTTTGGCATATCTAAATTGCCAGCTTTATTACTTTTGTACTTTGGGGCTATTATTAAATAAAATAAGGGTTACTTGAACATAAGCATTGCAAGACCTTGACAGTCAATCTGATAACAAGACAGCTATTAAATGATTAACAGGTGGGTAAGCATACACAGCGTGCAAATGCTAAACACAGGGATGATTCACGTCCTGGGCAGTAGTGAACAGAACAACGTGAGATTGTATTACACAACTCAGAGCAGTGTGCAATTTAAAAATTCTGAATTGCTTATTTCTGGAATTTTACATTTAATATTTTGGAATGGCAATTGACTGTGGATAATTGAAACTACAGAGAGTCAAACTGTATAAGGGAGGACAACTGTACCACATTTCATAGAGAAAGCCAGTGAGAAGTTGGAGACAATTTGTGTCTTCAGTGGGCCCATCCCCCTGCACCCTGCTTAATTATCCACAGTAGCTGTGGAAGTCTCTGTAAGAGCCCTTACATTTGAGCCCCAGCTCTGCTACCTTGAAGCTGTGTAACCTTGTAAGCAGCATTTCAGCTCTCGAATCCTCACTTTCCTCATTTGTTCTTCTACATTAAGGTCATACTGTGGTTCCCATTCACTTACAGTAGCTCGTCTCCTACCATTTGCCCCAAGTACACCTGCCCACTTTCTACTCCTCATTCCTCCCAATTCCCTGAACTCTCCTATACCTCTGAACCCATGCATGTTCTTTTCACTCTCTTTGGGATGCTTTCTACTCTTCTCTGGTTTTGACAGTCAGCTCAACCTTCAACCACCCCATACCATCCCTGTCAACTCCTGGCTGGGCAGCTGAGTGCTTCCTCAGCTCCATTGCCATAGTACCCTGTCCCTGTATCCCTCTAATCCTGCATTTACCTGTGGCTTTTAACCCTTTACAAACAAATCACTCTCCCTCTTCACTAGGCCGTGAGAGTTCACAGTCTAATAGGTGAGAGAGAAGTGTCACTGGTTACAGAACACTGTGTCGAGTACTTGGCACAAAAGAGGTACTCTTGAAATGTTTCTGAACAAATAAGGGAATGAGCCAGACAATCTGTGAATGTTAACCATTCTTGTTATAGCTTAATCAACTCATGGTGCACATATTTATCTTCTAGATGTCAACTTTCCTGTATTTCTCCAATGTGTGTTTGGTTCATTCCTGCTAAAGGCATGCCAGGCAGGTACTTCTAGATAAGAGGGGGCATAACCTTCCAAAATATATGGGAGAACCTCAAACTAAGCAACCTCTTATGTGATGGCTGCAGATCGTGCCTCAGTGCAGTAAGAATTCTGCCTGTCTTAAGGTGAAAATCACCACAGTGACCCTCCTGCTGCCAGTCATCTCCTCCCTGCCCCTCAACACAAAGCGAATAAGTAAATGGGGGAAAAAAACGTGAAAAATAAACATCAGCAATGAAAATAAATGGGAAATGTGAGGTGTAGGTGATAAGCAAGTTTATTATGTCAATGAATATAATATGTTTCCATTCAGTGCTGAATTCCTATTACCGTATGGATTATTATTGGCATGTTCCTTATGGAAAGAGAAAGGGCACATCATTAGGGTGAGAGACAGTTTGGAGGCTATGAAAGTGCTGATCTGGTTTTGTTTTTATTCTAAATAGCATAGCAGTCTGACCACAGTCAGGTCCTCAGCTTCTCCTGACCTCATTTTCCTCAAATGTAGGAAATCAAACCATGTGATGGCTAACTTTCTGCTATAGAATTCTGATTCTGGATACATTAAAGTTTATACCTGTAGATTAAAATAATATCTCATTCATATTATGATATTTTTCATGCTAAAGACTTATTCAGTGAATGTTTTATTACATCTTTCATGGAAGTTGGTTGACCAGGTGTTGGGGTTATAGAAAGATAAGTAGATGAGGTCCCTGCTTTCAAGGAGTTTATAGTGTAGAAAGGAGACATGTCTATAAAATACAGGCAGAAATGTTGAAGGGCATCAGAAGGATATAGCTAAATAAATGCTGTGAATGTTCAGAAGACTTCTTTGAGGATGTATCACTTTAGCTGGGCACCAAAAAGGATGAAAGGACTTAGAAATACGGAATTAGGAACAGTTTGGAGAGTCAATGTGGAGAGAACAGTGGGAGTCAAAGCTTGAAGGCAGAATTACACAGATTGTTTAGAGAAGAACAAGGAGTCCAGTTTCCAACAAAGGGTTCATAAAGAAGTAGAAGGAAAGACTGAGAAATAGGATGTGACAGGATTGTGGGTGGGTGCTAAGTGCGGGGCTAGGGAATGTGGTTGTGGCGTCTGTGTTTACAAAGAGTTGTAAGAGCAGAGTTCCTGATGACCACTCATTTTAAGCCAAGCATATGCTAGGCCGCTGTCTCGTTCCTGTGTTCCCAAAGGTCCCTGCATCTGTTTCGTAATTTTTTTTTTATACTGGTGATTCTTAGAATTTTAGAGCAGAACACAAAGTTGATATATCCAAAGCTTTTATTTTATAAATGAAGGGACTGAGATAAACAGAACTTTGGAGACCATTTACTTAATCAGCAACAGAGCAAAAGCTGTTCAGATTCTCTGGTTGTTGGCCCAGCCTCTTCTTGGCATTCCTCCAATAGAAGTCACTGTTTTTAACCAAAAATCACATCAAGAGGAAGTAGGAGAGAAAGGTCCACACTAGGAGGTAGAAATGGAGTTTAGTTTTCTTTCACCAGTTTTCTCTGTGATCTTGGACAAAAAGACATGGATTCAAGTTCCAAACCTCTGAAGTAATATAATAAACTTTCTTGTTATGTTGAAGAAGTTTGGAGATGAATAGAACCGTGTTTGTTAAAATCCTTCCACATTTATAAATGCCTATACCAACATAAGAAACTCTTATCTTCAGAAACACTCTTTTCGATTTCCGAATGTATGATAAATTAGCAACACACTCAAACTCCTCACCTTCTTGTTTAACGCATAGTGATTACTTGTTACCCTTTGCAGACCTCTCCCAATGTACTTCCAGGATCTTTTAGAGCTGGAAACTAGAGATGTGGTTGATCAATGCCATCTCAGTGTTTATTTCACATTCGGACCTGGGCTTGAGTTAGGAGGAGGAGCTGAAGGGTCAGAACTATTTGCCCTGCACTGTGCCTGCTTCAGCGTTTCCACAGGGCATGACCAGATAAGTTGGGATTAAACAAGTAGATTTTTTTTCTTAAAGGAGAAAAGAGTCTTCCATTTACTTTCACTGGGTTTAAATGAAGAGTAGTAAGTCTTCCTATGTAGAACAAGCCTAATGTTCTTATCAGTAAATCTTCAAAGGAATCTTCAGTAAATCTTATCATGGGATCTTTTAAGATAGAAGGAACTCAAGTCATCCCAACCAGTCTTTAACTTAATGCAGAGATACCCTCCTACAGCTTCCCTGGGAATTCGTTCTACTCCCACATATGCTTAAATCTGCACCAACAACTGGGAGCTCACTACCTATGAAGTAGCTCATGCTCTAGATGTTAGAAAATGATTTTATGTTCCTGAATTCCTCCCTCCCTATGACTTCAGCCTACTGAGCCTAGTTCTACCTTTAAGAAGAAAATCAATCACTTCCCTTTCCTCTTTCACATGTCAGCTTTCCTTAAATCTGAAGCCAACTCTCATCTTCCTCGAAGTCCTCTCTATCATCATCCTAGTCAATCACCTCTAATGATTTCTGATTCTTCCTAACCTATGTTCCCAGACATTGAGTGTCACCCTCTAGACTAGGCCTGATTCATGCCAAAAGCATGATACATTGGTCCTATAGTGAGGATCATAGGCTTTACATTCAAACAGAGCTTACAAATCTGTTTTAGTAGATATATCTTGCTTGTTGAATTTTGGACCAGCTGATTGGCAGTTACTATCTCATGTGGATGGATGGACAGCCGCCACATCAGTTCTCCTGTCCAAATGACTGGAATAACTCTAAATATCCGCTAGAGAGCTCTAAATCAATGCCTCACCAAGCAAAGCTCATCATCTTTCTCCAGTATAGCTCCCAGTTTTATCAGTGGTGCTATTGTTCTCCTGAATGACTTGAGCTCAAGGCTTTTTTTCATCTTTGAGTCTTCCCTTCTTATTTTAGCCTAAGCCTCATCTAGTCCCCCTCAGTGCCCTTCATAATCTTATTTCCATTCTCACTGCCATTGCTCCAGGTCAGGGCCCCATATCCTTGACCTGGATTGTTGCAGCAGTCTCTTAGCTGGGCTTTCTGCTCCAAGTCACCACATCTTATTCAACCCAATAGTTTTCTCCAAGTTCCAGTGCTCCTCGTTGGCAACTTAATATGTGCTTTCCTCTCTTACTATTTGCCCTATTTGTTTATAGTCTGTTTTTCAAGGCTGGTTGGTTGGTTGTTGTGCAGTACTGGGGATTGAATTCAGGGGCTCTCTACCACTGAGCTACATCCCCAATCCTTTATTTTTATTTTTTTAATTTTGAGACAGGGTCTTGCTGAGTTGTCAAACCTGGCCTTGAACTTGAGATCTTCCTGCCTCTATCCTCCAAGTTACTAGGATAACAGGCATGTACTCCTAAGCCCAGCTCTATTTTTCAAGTTTTAAAGACTAGAGACTATGCATCTCTTTGTAACTACAGCAAACAGATATAAAGAAGGCCTTTAATAAACATTTCATGTTAAGAACAATAACAATGAGATGAAAATATTTTTGAATAAAAGGCACTTTAGAAAAACACTATTTCCAAAAAGATGGGGAAGTATCTAAGTTAAAATAACAATAACAGCAGCAATAATAAAATTGACATTTGAACCACTTGACATCTCTAGTAGGCATTTTAGAATTCTGCTCCCAAAACTAAACTCATTCTGGATCTTCCCAAACTCCTCAATCTACAACTCTATAATAGTCTTCCCTCATGTTGGTAAATATGCTCTCCACTCTTCCAGTTGCTCCCCAGTCAGAACATGTGGGATCATCCTTGATTCCACCTTTCTTTCATACTCTACATCTATCAGCAAAACTTTCAGCTCTTTCTTTGACATATCACCACTTCTCTCCACCTTCACCTCTACCACCCTGGTCCAGGCTACTATTTCCCACCTGGATTATTACAATACCCTTCCAACTAGTTTTCCTTCTTTTCCTTTGCCCAGCTATCCATTCTTCATGTTCCTGCTGAACACCATCCAGTGGCTTCACATGTCACTTAGAACCAAAGCTGAAGTCTTCACCGTAGCCTCCTGGGTCTTGCATGGTCTGGTCCATCCACCTCTCTGACCACTCACTCACTGGACTTCAACCATGCTAGTCTTTCACTGCTTCTCAGAAGTCCCAGGCATATTCCAACCTCAGAGCCTTATACCTCCAGTTCCCACTATCTGGAATGTGGGCCTGCCCTCCCCACCACCCACACACTCTTTCCTCAGATTTCTGTGAAAATGTCTTCTTATAATGAAGACCTTCACTAACCATACCAAGTAAATCAGTCCTACAGTCTCCATTCCCATTGCTTTACATCTTCCTTAAGCCGCTCTTTTCTTTTTCAAATCACACATTACCATCTGCCATATTATGTTTGTGGATTTATTGTCTGACTTTCTCTATGAGAATGTAGCCTCTGGAGTGGTAGGGACTTTGTTTTGTTCCTTTGCAGTATCCCTAGCTCCTAGAACAGGAACTAGCATACAGCAGGAGCTCAATAAGTATTTGATGACTACCTCAATGAATGAATGCATGAACCTGGGTTTATCTGATTCCATAATTTATATTCACCCTCCATATGCAATGACTAGATGCCCACCCTGTTTCTCCTTCTACACATTTTTTCAATCAGTTATGTTAATTTGCACTTAATAAATCTTGAGTAAATCTGATTTCTTTTCAGAATCAGCATTCGGGCTTTTACTCAGCTGTTTGATGAAGACCTGAAAGAATTCACAAAGCCACTCTATTCAGACACATTTTTCTCTTTGCCTATCACCACTGAGTCAGGTAAGGCTAACCTTTCCATCCACCCCTGTGTTCTGCCAGCCACTGTGTCACCTGAAAGAGCCTGTAGGGGGAGATCTGGTGACTTTCCTGATTGGTAGGAGGAACATTATTTTCACATGGAACTTTATCTTTGATGATCATGAGCTGATGTGGATTAGGGAGATTGCACAACTTCTGTGGGAGACCAACCTAGATAAGAAGATGCAGTACAAGATTTTTTTTCTATTAGGGTTAGAAGGAATTGGGTTTAAAAAAAAAAAAAACAGCAATTGAAAAACATTAAAATAAAGATCTAGCCCAGGCCAAAATGTAAATTGGTATGAAAGGCTTTCTGTTATGATTGGAAGTGTACATATGCACATACAGTCAACCCTCTGAATTCATTGTGTATTGCAAATATTTTGGGAAAAAGTTGTGTCTGTACTCAACATGTACAGAGATTTTCTTATCATTATTCCCTAAACAATATAGTATAGAAACTATTGACAAAGCATTTATATTTTTACATATTCTAGAAATCTGGAGATGACTCAATGCATAGAGAGGAAGTGCACAGGTTATACACTACATCATTTTGTATAAGGGACTTGACCAACCATGAATTTTGATATCCTGACAGAAATGGCTCAGAATGAATCCCCCTCAAAAACTGAGGAACACCTAGACATAGGAAAAAAGACTAGAGAAAAAACAACAAAGTATTAATGACAAGTATCTCAAAGTAGTAGTGTTATAGGTGATTTTTCTTCATTTGCTTCTTACGTATTATTTTTTCACTATTTAAAAATGTTAATTTAAAGAACTAGATGTTAAAAAATGATGTAGCTCAGTGATAGAATGCTAGCCTAGCATGCATGAGGCCCTGGATTTAATTCCAAGCACCATGAAAAAAATAATAAAAATGTTAATTTAAAAGGCTCTACATAAATTTATGAAAGAAACATCTTTGGTGTGCTCATGGGAAAGTCTCAGTAATAAAAATGGCTAGTATTTGCTGGGCACCTCCTCTGTGGAGCTGCGGTGTTAAGCATTTCACATAGAATAACTTGTCCAATCCTCACCACTACCTTTTGAATTCACTGCTTTTATCATCCCCATTTGAAAGGTGAGGACGTGAGGCTCCAAGAGCTCAGTAACTTGCCCAAGATGGCGCAGCTGTGCTTCCAGCCCTTCCTGCCTGAGCACACAGCCTCTGCACTGCACGGTCTCTGAATATTTCCATCATGCTGAGAATAGCATCTCTTTCATCACCTTGTTCCTTGACACCATTGTCTGTCCCAGCTTTCCCGTGGGTGGCCCGTGTGCTACAGTGCTGGTCTCTTGGTCTAGGGAAGTTCTTTAGAGCTGAAAGAGTCTCCCCTGCTGCATGACAAACGTAGCTCATCCCACAAACCTTCCTGTCCATCTATGCCAAAGACAGGGATAATCTTCCACTTTTCAGACCAAAGAAGGATCAAAACCCAGCTAAGAGGATTTTGATGTATTCACTTATAATTTGATGTTAAGTCAGGACTCTGTAAACACAGTTCTTTCCCATGTGAAATATTTTTAGACAACAGAAATTTTATGTAATCCAGTAAAGGAATACACTATACATGCGTTCAAAACAGAATATTAAGCATGTTAAAAGAAAGATTATTGTATTGATTTGATGAGTATTGAAAAGCAACATGAGATAATAAATCCAAGGTCTTAAAATGTAACTCCAAAAACAGGCTACTCTATAGACCTAAATGTGAGAGATAAACATTAACACATTTAAAAGAAAACATAGAAGTAAATTATGTGACCTTGAGTTAAAAAATTATTTCTCAGATATAACAATAATGCAACAAAAGAAAAAGTAAATGTCTTGGAGTTAATCGCAAAGGCTTTCAATGCTTGAAAGAACACCATCAAGTGAAAAGACAACCCACAAAATGGAGAAAATATTTGTAAATAATATACCTGGTAAGGATTGAGAATTCAAAATACACAAAGAACTCTTAACCTACAACTCATTAATAAAGAGACAAATAGCACAACTTAAAAATGGCAAAGGAGCTGAGTAGAAATTTGCACAAAGATGTGCAAATGGCCAATAAGTATTTGAAAAGACACTTAACATCTTTAGTCATTAGGGAAATGCAAATCAAAGCAACAATAAGACACTTCATAATCACTAGAACATCAATAATCAAAAAGACAATAGTGAGAATATGGAGAATTGGAACCCTCAAATGTTGCTTGTGGGAATGATAAATGTATATGTAGGTGTAGGCTGAGGATATATCTCTGTTAGTATAGAGTTCACCTAGCATGTGGGAAACCCTGGACCCACAAAAAAACTAACAACAGCCAAAAAAAAAAAAAAAAAAAAACCTGATATATCCATATGATGAGAAAATTATTTATCCATTAAAAAGAATGAAATATTCCTGTATGCTATTTGGTTGAATCCTGAACACATTATGCTAAGTGAAAGAAGCCAATCACAAAAGGCTACACATTTATGATTCCTGTTTATATGAAATGTCCAGAATAGGCAAATCCATAGACATTGAAAGTAGAGTACTGGTTGCCAGGGCCTGGGAAAGAGGAATGGGAGTGACTGCTAATAGACATGGGGTTTTCTTTGGGGGTTGATAAAAATTATGTTATAAAATTTATTGTGGTGATGTTTTCAAAACTCTTATATGACTACTAAAAGCTATTGAATAGTACAATTTAAATGAGTGAATTATTTGATGTATGAATTATATTTCAATAAAACTGTTAAAAATATAGGGTTAGGAATGTAGCTCAGTGGTAGAGCACTTGTCTAGCATTCACAGGGCCTTTTGTTCAAACGCCAGCATGGTGGGGGGAGTGGTGAGAGCCGGGGCAAGCTGGGTCAAGAGTATATACCTGTAGTCCTAGCTACTCAGAGGCTAAGGCAAGAAAATTGCTTGAACCCAGAAGTTCAAGGCCAGATTGGCAACATCAAGAGACCTGCCTTGAAAGAAAAACAAAAACAAACAAAAAAAAACTACTTTTACTTGTTTACCTATTCATAAACTCCCAGTGGCAGGATCATACAAGATAATGAGACTGTGTTAAAATAACTCCAGAGCAATTCTCTGGATTTGTTAAAGCCCCAGATGCTCTGTAGCATGATTCCTGTAAATGAAATCGTATCTTTATCTGGATGACAAACATTTGACTTTTATCTCAGGTGCTCCAGGCTTCAGATACAAACAGAAAGTCCAAAATTCCTTAATAAACCGTGTATCATTAACTTCAAAAGTTAATGAACTTTTCCCTTAACTTGTCTGCCTGTGACAGGCAGGATAGTAGCCAATATTTCTTCTATTTCACCTTCTCAGGTGCATATTTGAATTGTATTTGTGATATCATTCCCTGGAAACAGCCTCCATAGCTCTCTTTTTTTTATTCTAATTTGTTATATATGACAGCAGAATGCATTTCAATTCATGTTACACACATAGAGCACAATTCTTCATGTCTCTGGTTGTATACAAAGCAGAGTCACACCATTTGTGTCTTCATATATGTACCTAGGGTAATGATGTACATCTCATTCCATCATCTTTCCTACCCCCATGCCCCCTCCCTTCCCCTCCATCCCCTTTACCCAATCTAAAGTTCCTCCATTCCTCCCATGCTCCACCCCCACTCCCCCCACCCCATTATGGATTAGCATCCTCATATCAGAGAAAACATTTGGCATTTGGTTTTTTGGGACTGGGTTATGTAGCTCTTTTATTGGTTCCCCTACACTAATTTTCCCACCTGGCTGTGTTCTTTCCATCTGGATTACTGCAGAGCCCTTGTTTGGAGTCATTGAAGGTGTGAGTGCTGGCCTGTTTTTAATTGGCATGTTAGTGGCTCTCGTGGCCTTCTTCATCTGCAGACGGAAAACAAGGTAAGTCAAAGATCCCTTTGGTGACCGGGCCCACAGTTTCAGAGATGCAACTGAAAATGCGCTTGAGCTTGAACAGTAAGAAGGAGAAATAATTTCCCCAGGTTAAATCTCCATTGTTTTCTCAGTAAAAACAAAAGCCAAAACGTAAAATAGTAACTCCCTTTTTCATCCTCCTCTACCGCCATGTACCATTGATGAATTTGACCCTTAGAAGTATTTAAATGTGAAATAACTCATTTTGCAAAGAAAGAATAATTTTTTTTGTTGGTTCATATCCTCATGAAGACAGAGATGTTTGCCAATTGCATGCCCAAGCTCTTTTCTGAAATATCCTGAAAAATCTGGTTGACAACACCATTTCATGGCTCATATCTGCCATCCTAATTTAAGAAGAAGCCAAAAAGAAGAAAATAACATGTGGCCCCAATGCCACGTCCTCTTCTTCTGGTGATATTTTTTTTAATATGGCACAATGTGCTCTCTTGCAGTTATGTCTGGCATTTAAGGTTTACTGGTTTGGGAATTTTTCAGTTTTTAAGAAAAGATTTATTGAGAGTGTAGGAAGTGATTATGACCCGTAGCCAAAAACCAGGAGGCAGAGATCTTTAGTTATTATAGAGATCCGTTTCTAAGTGAGAAAGATCCACTTTTTAATGTTCTTCCTCCCCTGTTCCTCCCTCAAAGAGATGTTGGCTGAGTGCAAAGATACATGAATACTGAAAAATCTACATTTGCTCAAACATGCACAGCCTTACCATAAATGGAAAAAAAATTGTTTAAATCAAGAATGATCAGACTAAAAATCTTTTGCCTTACATTTCAGCCATGGTCGAGAAAGGCCCTCTGCCCGCCTGAGCATTCGTAGGGATCGACCATTATCTGTCCACTTGAATCTGGGCCAGAAAGGGTAAGTGCCATATTTTCTTTTATTTAATTTATTGAAAGATGGCTTTGTGTGAGATTTGCTAACAAGGCCTTTCTTCTTTTGGCTTCTTCACAGTAACCGGAAAACTTCTTGGTAAGAGAGAACACATTAATTACTTTATTATTTGCTTTTAAAATACAATGCAGGCTGGTTATGGTGTTTCCCTTTTTCTTCAGTAATTCTCTTTTTCTTTTTGTTTCTACAGCCCCATAAAAATAAATCAGTTTGAAGGGCATTTCATGAAGCTTCAGGCTGACTCCAACTACCTTCTATCCAAGGAATATGAGGTACTACTCAGGTGCAACGAAGCCTTAACACCCCTGCTTCTTAGCAGAATATCCTTTCTGACCTTTACTGTGGAATCAGAAGCTGATTGGACTTGGGAGTTACAATGATACTTAGGGTCCCAGCTAAGTGTTTTTGTAATTGAAACCATTCCCTGCACAATAAACCACCTAATCTCAGAGCTCCAGAATAGCACAGCAAACCAAGTGCTACCAGGATCAGATGGTAAGAAAGAATTAACAAATGTCAAATGCAAAACCTAAAACCATCCGTTATCCAGTCTGGCCATTTGCTTGCCTGGAAAACAATGTGGTTTGGCAAAAAATGCCCAGGCTTTGGATTTGATTTCCAGTTTTGCCACTTGCGTGACCCAAAGTACATTAGTTATCCTGTCTAAGCCTCATCTGTAAGATGGTGATAAGAACATTCCCATTTGGAGCTGTTGAAGGGATCAGAGCTAGTGCATGGAGAATACTAGGCATTCTACAAGCAGTAATAAGCATACTAGTGTATGTGTTTTTATATTATTATCAATCTCAAAGTCTGTTATTCTTTTTCACATTTTCCACTTTCAAACTTATTTCTGACCCAATAGGACTTAAAAGACGTGGGTCGAAACCAGTCGTGTGACATCGCACTCTTGCCGGAAAATAGAGGGAAAAATCGATACAACAATATATTGCCCTGTAAGTTTTGTGTTGAAATTTGTGACACTGTCTCCTCTAGCAGATTTTCTGCTCTTTTCCAAGAATAAAACGAGGCTAAAGAAATATGGCAGAACTGGAAATGGAGGATCTCAGGCTCCGGACGACTCTAATAAGGAATGACTTGCATGTTACTGCACTTTTCTCCAGAAGGATAACTACCAGCTTAAATTCTGGTTCTGAGGATACTCTACTGCTGCTGTGATTTCTCTGTGTGGACCTGCTGTTTCTCCTTCGTGGCTGAGAGCAGCAGTGGGGTTAACAGCAGGGCTCTGACATCAAGTTGATCTAGGTTTTCTTAGCAAAATCTCTAGTTCACAGTTTTTAAAAAAAAATATATCCTTACTGCACTAGGTAAAGGAGCAGGAGGTAATCTTTCTGGATTGCATTTACTCCATCAGTGAAAGGGAACCGGCCACTCCAGTTTGGCAAGTGTCATTAACATTGCAAAGGAAGGTACAGTTGGGGCTACATATTGTCTCCTGTGCCTGATTGTTTATGTGCCACCTGTGCAACATGGGGCAGGTTAGTTATCATATCTGAGCCTCACCTGTAAAATGGAGATAAAAACACCTCCTATGACTGTTGTGGAGATCAGAGATAAGAGACATCAGATACCATACGCTGCAAAAAAAAAAAAATGCCACCCCAGCATGTAGCAACAAATCTCTCAACAAACTTTCTTCCAGATGATGCCTCAAGAGTGAAGCTGTCCAATGTAGATGATGACCCGTGCTCTGACTACATCAATGCCAGCTATGTCCCAGTAAGTAGCCCTAACCACGAGATGAAGCTTTAACAGGTAGCTATACTGGAAATACCTCTCCTCTTGTGTGTTCCCACTGCCCTCAGGTCTGGAAACATTTTTTAATTTGTAGAAGACCATGTCTGATTGCCATAAAATGTAGGCAATTCAATCCAATCACTGCTGAGCCTCATTTTTCACAATGGCCATAGTAATATGCAATGACCATCAACCCAGGATACATTTCCAATGGTTGTTTTCTCTGCCACCCTTTGACAAGATCCATGGAAGATGGACCTCCAGTGCTAAGGCTGCCTCACTAGGGAAGTCAGTCTTGTTATTTGAATTTCTGAAAACCACAGACATACCTCAAAGGTTGTGTCAAACTTTTGGACTTTGATCGGGCTAGCATCTTGCCAACTTTCTTCAGCACATTGCAGCAGAAGAAATTCTAAGCGTCAAATTTGAATCCCACTTGTATCCCTTGCTGGTTCACCAGGTCTCCATTTCCTTTTCTGAAAACTTAGGGTAATTATATTTCTTTCAAACAATCATTCATTCACTCAATAAGCATCAATTAGTTAAGTACTAACTGTAGGTCAAACACTGAGCCGTGTACAAGGATGAGATCCTGATCCTAAAGGAACTACCAGGACAGGAAAATGCAAGGCAGTGCCAGGAGAAACTGGTAGAGCTGTGCTTTTCCACCATCACCATATATCAGCACTGTCCAGGGATCTTGTTAAAAGGCAGAATGAGTCAGCAGGACTGAGGTGGTGCCTGGAATTCTGCCTTTCTGACAAGGTCCTGTGTGATCCCATTGCTGGTGGACAGAGGACCACTCTTTGAATAGTGAGAGGGTAGAGGGTGCCACAGATCATCAAAGAGGAGAATATCACCCAGCTGAGAAAAAGAGAAAGGAAGCTCAGTGGAGCAGACCAACCTGCTAAGGTTACTTAGGGATAGTCAGATGAGAGGCAGTGTTTGGTGGGTGGGGTTCCCAGTGGCAGAGGTGACAGAACATGGAGACCCTATGGATAGATGAGGAGAGAAAGCAACTTCAACCAAGATTTACAGGTAATTCTGCATTGCTGGGAATGCAGGATGAGTGGGAAGAAAGATCCTAGCTCATAGAATTATGGTTAGTATTAAATAGTGTCTATGGAAGACTTGACCCACAGCACAATTTGGTGGAACTGCAACAAACAGTGGTTAAGCTTCTCTTGCATAGCTGGGAGCAGTGATGTGAACCTGTCACCTCAGCAACTCAGGAGGCTGAGGCAGAAGGATGGCAAGTTTGAGGCCAGGCTGAGAAACTTAGAGAGACCATGTCTCAAAAAAAAAGAAGAAGAAGAGAAGAGAAAAGAAAAAGGGCTTGGGATCTAGCTTAGTGGTAGAGTGCCCTGGGTTCAGTCACCAGAGAGACAGACAGACACACACACACACAGAAATCTTCCCCTTCGTGACATCAAATTATTGTATTATCAATTATCCCAAATAACAAAAAGTCAGTTCCTCAAACAATTTACACACACACACACAATCACATAATTGAGGTGAAGGGTTTTCGAGATCACTGCCTGAGTCCTCCATTTGCCTTTTAGAATAGACCCAGCCTGATTAAGGGAAGTTTAGCTTTTAACAATAGTTCAATGTTCTGGCCTTTGTCCTTCCTGCTTTCAAGCCTTGACACTTGTGTAAGTATCTTTCTCTCGAGTCAGGGTCCTGGCAGAGACCTCCAGATCATCTGATCTGCAGAGCTGACTCTTTGTTTACAGTTCTGAAGAAGCCCATTGTTTCCAGCTTTTCCATATTGTAAATTCATCCACAGGGCAACAACTTCAGAAGAGAATACATCGCTACTCAGGGACCGCTTCCTGGAACCAAGGATGACTTCTGGAAAATGGTGTGGGAACAGAACGTTCACAACATTGTCATGGTGACCCAGTGTGTTGAGAAGGGCCGGGTGAGTGAACAGCCGCCCTGATTTCCCACCTTTGCTTTTCACCATCCAGATGGAATTCACACCTGCCCCCATCCCGACCCCAATCCAAAGCTGTACCCCATGAAACAAAATACAGATGCTTGAGAATGTTGTTAGTTAATTAAGCCACTCAGTTGTGAAAGGCTCTAATGGGAAATCCAGGTGATTCCAGTTCTTGTTCTGGGTTTGAAGTTTCTGTCAATGCTTTCTCCCCGTGAGGACTGGGATTGTCAGAAGTGGCCATGACACTGTCAGAAAGAGTGCCTAGCCTCATCTGCTCCATCCTTCGGAGCACAGCTAGGGAAGAGAGACTGCAAGAGTCAAGGGGCCTGTCCCTGCTCTCAAGAAAGAAGTAGGCTGTGTCAGCAGAGGCAAAGCAAAAAGTATCTGGACAAATCATGCAAACCTCTTATACAGCACTTAGATTCCTCTCCTTTATATGGTTAATTTTAGGATCAAAAGAGAAATCACATATGAAGTACTTAATAAATACACATTGGATTTCCAAATGTCTCTTAGGTCATTCATGCTGCAGTGAGACATGTATGTCCTCAGCAAAACTAGCTTAGTTTAATATAGAGACACATATTAACTATATGGTTAATGGGACAACTAAAATATGTATGTAACCATATAAATATGTTTGTATGTAAAACCTAGAAATTTATTCTATCTTCACACCTGGGATGCCTTATCATAATTACTAAAATAAAAGCCATGTACACAGTACTCAATATACATATCTACATACACAAATACATAGTCCTAACAAATACACATAACTTACAAAACATCCATTTACAAATAAATGTATAAATACTCCCAGACAAAATGCAAAAATAAATATAAATAGTGTCCACAGTCCCCTCTCTCCTTTCTTTGCATATGAAAAGACAAGCTTAGCTAACAATTCTGACTTCTCAAAGATCTCTTGGCATATGGCCCAAGCTAGAAAACTGATAAAAATATGAACAAAACAGAGCCAGGAAGACAATGCCTTCCCCTGCTTGACTGGATCATTCTTCAAAAAGAACAGTAAATAAATTGTAAGTCCTGGTTTATCTGCTAGTGGGACTGGAATGCTGAAGAAATCGATAATAAGAAAAAAAAAAACCTCGAGCCACAAAACTCTGTGCTGGAGAGGTAAAGGAATCCAGGTGGGGTGGGGAGCTCCTTGTGCAATGTCTCCCTGTCCCTTGGAGCAGTCGCCCATCTTCAGTACTGACCTTGAGCAGGTTAATTGCTCCAATTGTTTTAGATCCTAATTCAGAAAGGCATTTAGAGGAGGGAAAGTCCAGTTTCTCACAGGAGTTATTTCCCAACTCACTTTTTTTTCTGTCTGTCTTCTTCTAGGTAAAGTGTGATCATTACTGGCCAGCAGATCAGGACTCCCTCTACTATGGGGACCTCATCCTGCAGATGCTCTCAGAGTCCGTGCTGCCTGAGTGGACCATCAGGGAGTTTAAGATATGCAGTGTATGTTAGTTTGCTTCACTTCATTCAATCACTCCACTTGGAAAGATGGAGATCTATGAATCTTACTTTTGTGGGTTCCTCTTTAGCTATAGTTTCAGCCCACAGATGTTCTCACATGGCATGGTTGTCAAATTTGAGTCTGCAGTGGACCATTCCTCTTATTATCCTGCTCTCTCTGCTCTTATAGGAGGAGCAGCTTGATGCAAACAGACTCATCCGTCACTTTCACTATACAGTGTGGCCAGACCACGGAGTCCCAGAGACCACCCAGTCCCTGATCCAGTTTGTGAGAACTGTCAGGGACTACATCAATAGGACTCCAGGTGCTGGGCCCACCGTGGTGCACTGCAGGTATGTGGCAACCTAGGAGACAGTCAAATGGCATCCCTAAAAGGACTGTGCCCCAGAGTCTAAAAAAGGGCACAAACATGGGGAATGTGGTGGGTGGAAGGTTTGTCTGAGCCAGCCAACCTATCCAGCCCCGGGAGGATTTCTTACGTCCTTCTTCCTCCTGCTCCCCAACCTCATTCCTCTTCACTGACTTCTCCTTTTCCATTTTCTTCACCTCCCACCTCTCTCCCCCTCACTTTCTATCCTTCTCTCTCCTTCTCTTTCCCTCTTGTTCCTTTCCCTACTGTATGAAATGCAAAACCCTTAAGTGATTTCCATGCCCTTCCCAAGGTCCATCTCACCTTCAGAGTTCTCAAGAACTCCCTTCCCACTCCAGCCAGAAGGCGACTGTACACACTTATCCTTGCCTCCTACCATCCTCAATCCTTGGAGTGGCTTCCTTTCTCTCCTCCACCTGTACTAACCTCACCGATCCTTCAACAGCCCTGATCTGGGCTCCATCCCTTTCTGGTAGCATGTCTTTATTGATGCTGCTGTAACAAACCACCACAGACGTGAGTAACTTATAAACAATAGAAATTTACTTATTGCAGCTCAGGAGGCTGGGAAGTCCAAGATCAAGGTGCTGACAGATTCAGTATTTTTGGAGGGTCCAGTCTGATTCCAAGACAGTACCTCCCTGTTGTGTCTTCCAGGAAGGAAGACAGGATTTGTCCTCACAGGAAGGAACAGAAAGGCAAAAAGACCTAGCTATTGTCCTGCAGCCCTTTTATAAGAGACTAATCTCATCAATAAGGGTGGAGCCCTCAGGGCCTAAGCACCAGCTTAGGAGACACAAACCTTCCAGCCCCAGCATAGCACTTGCTATCTGCAGACCCAGTTTTGCTCTTAAATTTCTGTTCTATCTTCATTTCTCTTTGCTTCATATAGTCTGTCCATAAAATCAACTTAACAAGCGCACTCTCTCTCTCTCTCTTTCTTTCTCTCTCTCTCTCTCCCCCTCTCTCTCTGGGGAGCCTGGTGTTTAGCTAATTAATGTTTGCAACAACACTTTGATAGCCCTAACTGAATGGCACTAATAAATAAAGAGCCGGGGAATTGCTACAGTAAGAGAAATGTCAAGTGCACTAATTTTCTCCCAATCAGCACAACACCCCAGGAGCCATGCGTTTATATATTATTGGAATGCCAACACTTTTAATGGGAATGTGAGGCACTCAAGGACTTCCTGCTTTCCGAAGAATGACAGGCATTTCATCCAGAATCACTGGAGAACTGTTCTTGTTTATCTGATTGTCAACCTACATAATAACCAAAGGGAAATTCTCCAAAGAATAATAATCTTTATCTGGGAACAGCGCAACATTGCCATGGGAAATGTAGCATAGTAAACAATGGGTGTGTTCAAAGAGGCTGAGGCAAGGGAAAGTTTTAAAGCAAGAGAGAGAGATTTATATATGCTACTTGGACACAAAGTTCAGTGGTCTTGGAGACCTGAGCAAGAGTTGGTATCAGCATTTGGTGGAAGTGCTGGTGTCCTGTCCAGAGCTTCATATCTGAATTGCTGCGGGCTTAAAGAATATGAAAAACCTTGTTGCAAAATCGGTGCATACCTGAAAGGTAGGCAGAGCATCAGATGCATGTCAACAAAAAGGAAATTCTTATAGGGACTTAGAAAGTTCTAATGGGCAGGCAGGAATTCTCCCCCTCATAACTTCCCAACTCTAATTTTGTCTGAGTTGATGAGAATAATTTCATCTTGTTATCAGCAACTTGCACAGAATCGAAAATCCCCAGATTAAACAACCACTTTGGGGAGCAATTTGGCAATCCCTGGCAAAGCTGCAAGTGTTGATACCCTATAACCAACCCAGCAGTTATTCTTCTAGCATCGACCCTTGATTAGTCGCCACCTGTGTGCACAAAGATGTCCATTGCAACGGACTTTTTGATAGAGAAAAACTAAAAATGATCTCTAAACTAAAATTGTCTACCTATAAGGAATGGATCATCAATGGCTTATGAATTCTTATAGAATGATTAAATGAAATTAGATCTACGTATAACAATATGGACAAAACTCAAAACACAATATTGAGTAGAAATGTTGACAAAGGATACATAAAATGTGTTAGCATTTTAGTAAAATTTTTGAAACATATAAAAGATATTATTTATGGATCTACATATATGTAGGAAAAGTATAAAAACAAACATGGACATGATACACACCAAATGCAGAATGGTACTTACCCTTGATGGGGTAAGGAAAATGGAGGAGGAGGAAGGGAAAAAAGAGATGGAATACTGAGACTCTAGGTAATGTTTCTCTGAAAAAAAGAAATATTCCTATATTCTCCCATGTCTTGGAAGAGAAAAGAAAGGTTGGGCCAGAGTCTCTGGGTTCAATCTTGAAAAGCCAATTTAATAAAAAGGCTGAATCTTCCTGCACATCTCTTCTAGTGCTGGTGTGGGTAGGACTGGAACCTTTATTGCGTTGGACCGAATCCTTCAGCAGTTAGACTCCAAAGACTCCGTGGACATTTATGGAGCCGTGCATGACCTAAGACTTCACAGGGTTCACATGGTCCAGACTGAGGTAAGAATTACAGGCTAAAGGATACAGTGCACCCTTCTCCTGCCCCCTAAAACATCCAGGGCTTTCCTCTGACAAAGGGAAATAACTATGACACATGAGGAAGAGAAAGAGAACTGAACATAGACATTTTCCAAGACTTGTTATTTTGTAACAGATCTCAGTGACCTTGAGGATAACGTATGCCCTTATTTTTACTGAGATGGTTGCTCTGCTCAGAAAAGAATTAATTTCAGTGGGTAGGAAGAAAGATGATTATTTTTAAAAACAGTGCATTATACATAGGGGAAAAGCCTAGGCCAACCCATCTTGGAACTCATGTTCAGATAGGCTGGTATGAGCACAAGAACTTCATTAGTGAAGAGGAATAAGATTCCAATCTCTTCTCTATCCACCCACCTGACCAGCTCTACCTGCACCTGCATCTCTAGAGACACCAAGGGACTCTATGTACCTTGCTAAATGCTTCTATTTGTAAGCATTTTGACATTTGCAGATTACTTTTGAATATGTTATCCCATTAAATTTTCATAATACCAAGTAAAAAAGATATTACATTCCATTTCCAGCCTAGAAAATTGAGGTCCAGATGCTTATGAGCTTTGCACAAAGCCCATAGATATGAGGCTACCACTCTGGCTTGGACCCTGTTCTAGAAAATCCTGGGCCCTTGAGTATCAAGCCACAGCCTCAGGGTTAGCAGTTTGCCCCCCCACCCCCACCCCATATACCAAGCATGTCTTTCTCCGACATGAGCAACTTCCCAGGCTCAAATTCTCTTACTCTTGGGTTTCCCAAGTTTTTCCTCAAGTATCTCTGCAAAAATTCTCTTTGTAAAAAAGAAAAAAAAAGATTTCCATGGATAAAAAGTTCTATCTACATGCTACTATCTCTCCTCTTAAGTCATAGTAAACATGGAAACTACACAGGCAGCAGCGCTTAAAAAAACGGGGGGATCCTGCAGCAGAGAGTCCCTGTGGGCTTCATTAGCCCACTATTCCCCAAACCACTGTGTCCCCTGAATTCTTTTCTAACACAGCACATTTTAATGTCCAGCAGAACTCTCATTATGTCGTTATTCAGCAAAATACTGACGTCATTGCCTTCTGCAGGCTGCACCCATTTCCCTGATCTCTGACTGTCTAAGCTGGAGAATAATCTATCCACTGTATCTTGAATATTATGATATTGTTCAAAATTACACAGAACTGGGCTGGGGTGTAGATCATCAATAGAATACTTGCTTGGTATGCACAAGGCACTGGATTGGATCTCTGGCACTGAAAAAAATAATGTCCACAAAACTAGAGAAATAGTATAAGGAGGTTTCATGTGCCCAAATCCCAAACTTCTACAATTATCAGAATTCTGTGTTATTTTCTCATCTATATCCTACATACACTGTTCCCCTACTCTGTCCCCTTTAAAATAGTTTAAAGCAAATCCTGCTTATCATATATGACCACCACTGCATTTATTATACCTAACGATTTGGACTATAATTCTAAATTTCATCTCATCAACACTTAAATGTCCCTAATTATCTTTTAGAAAAATTATTTCTTGTAAAAAAATAATACTAGCTGATTTTCATTAAAATCCAAATAAAGTCCACACATTTTATTTGGTTGTAGTTTCTTTAAAATCGTTCTTTAATCTATGATAATCCTCCCTCCCATGTCTTTTCCATGACATTTAGCCATCAGGAAACCAGCTCATTTGTTCCGTAGATTTCCCACATTCTGGATGTGGCTAGTTGCTTCATGGGTATTGTGTTTGTTCCTTGTGATTTTTTCACCAGCTGGTTGTTAAATCACCTGCTTTGAGGATGGTGTGAGCACTTGCTGTTGCCCCAGGTGACCGGGTAGATCATCTTGCCTGTGTCTCGCTGTGGCACAGTCTAAACTAACAGTGGATTCCTGGGCCATGGGCTGAGCCATTCATCATCAGGGTCCCCTTAACCTTTTGCTTAATGGCTTTAGCAGCCACTTATGATCACTGTCTAATTCATTAAGAGTTGAAAAATTATATCTTCCTGTGTCAGAATTGTTATCATTCAGTGTTTTTCTCAAGACTATGTTATCCAAGAAGGTAGGAACTTGTTTTCCTTCTCTATATCATCTTTTTTTTTTTTAAATCTATTCAATGAGTGAGCAAATATACCACAATTGGTTTGCTAAAAAGTCAGCCTCAGTATTTCATTATTAGTTTATTGTTGCTTCCACAAACTCTGACCATAATTAACTTGTAATTTGGGGGCAAAGAAGCTATCATGTTTTACATTTTAAGTAATCTGAGAGCGCTGTGTGTGTGTGTGTGTGTGTTTTCAGGCTTCCTAGTTACTGTCTTCTTGGGGAAATCTATCACAAATGCCACTGGCTGATTTTCAGAGCAGAGGTAGCTGCAATGTGCCAAAGTTCCTCCTCCTACTCCTCAGAAACAATGCCTTCCTTTCCTGGTTCTCTCCTCCTCTCACCTCTCTGATGATTCTGTGGCTTTGCTTCTTAACTGGTCTTCTCACTATTTGGGTTCCTCATAGTTCGGTCCTCAAAGCATGGCTCTGTTTCTCTCAATCTTCATTCTTTGTGATGTCATTCATTTTGAGGCTTCAAGAACCACACATGTGCTCCTTTCTCCCAAATCTAATGCTCCTTCCCTGGCACTCACCTAAGGACCTGCCTATCAGACAGTTCCACCTGGAGGCCTTATAGCCACCTCAAACTCAAAATGCTAATACCAAACTCATTATCTTTCCTTGAAAATGACAACAGAAACAACAGAGCAGCATTCCTGCTCTTGTACCTTCCAAATGCCATTAACAGTGTTGCCACCCATGTGTCTGCCCAAGCCAAGGAGCAGACTTCTTTTCCTCCAGTTCCCACATCCAGGCGGTCAGGAAGCCCTGTCAGTTCCACCCAAGATCTTTCTCTTTGTTCTAGTCCCTCCCCTACTGCTACCCCTTGCTCAAACCATTGTTAACTCTGGGTGGACCTATTGTGGTAGTCTGTTACCTCCAAATGGGGCTCCTACCTCCAGCTTCTCCCTTAACAGCTCTTCATTACCACTGCCACTATCAAAGTTCCCTGGGGACCTTGTCAACTCCTGTGTAAAAATCCTGAGAAGTTCCCATTGCTTGTAAATTGAACTTAAAATTATTATCCTTATGCACAAACTTCTTTATAACACGGCCCTGGCTTACTTCTCCAGCTTCATGTCTACCCATCTATTCTACATGATGTTAATGTAACAGACATCAATACCAAGTTCTGTTAAAATTAAGGAAGTTTTTCCTCCCTGGGCCAGAATGAACTTTGTTTCTTTCAGTCACGATGAAATAAACATTGCAGTAAGATAGGAATTTTCTTTCTCCCTTTTTGCCTGGTCAAACAAAATCCCAACAATATTCAATAATTTCTGTTTTGCTTGAAGCCTCTGCAAAAGTGGAACATTTTCTATAGTCTCTGAATCCCCGGCCCCCAAACTGGGCTGACTTACTTGGAAATGGAAATGGGTGCAGAAGGATTTAATCCACAGTGAGCTCCAGGGAGGTCAACGGTTCCACAAAGGAGAAAGGACATTCTGAGCCCTTGTGTTATTTTTCTGGGTCCATGGTGACAGTTAACCTTGACATTCTTATATACTGGAAATTTGGGATGTAAAGGAATGCAGATTGTCACAATTTTTGATGAATATATCAGACAGGATTTCTAAACAAATAGGTATTAGACAGGGGAGTTGCAAATGTGTTCCTCCTTTCAGCCTGCCTTGGGGCAAATTTGCAGCCTGACTCTGAGAGAGATACTCAGATAGAGCAATAACTTGTTAAAGAACATTCATATCAGCTTCTCATGAGAAAGAAACACAGGGATGTTACAGGATTAAAGCTCCTAGATTCCATTTGGGGACTGTCCTGGAGGTTGCATGACCCATGTAATCTACAGCTCACCCATACCAGAATTTTGTTTCTAGAATATATATGCACTTTCATATTATTTCATCACTTGGAATGCCCTACTTGGTTCAAATTCTTACTAATGTCACCTTTTCTCTCTAGCTTGATACTTTCCTCCCCCAAAAGGAAACTCAAGGGCTTCCTCTTCTATATGAAACTTTTCACACAATTCTGTTTTATGTTTATCATCTTCTAGGTTATTTGTTCACATGGCTGCCCTTCTGCTAAACTATGCACTCAGGGACCATGAAAGGTCAGACATATAATACTATAAATACTATCCAATACTACAAATACTGGTAAAATTGAATGGAACTGAATGTGTTAACGCCAACCCAAGACTTTGCCAATTAACATGACATAATTTTTCATGATTTGAGGTTCATCTATTAGAATTTTTTTACTTTTCATTAAGAATAAAATGAGAAGCACATTAAAAATCTGACGGTTTCCGTAGTAATCATTTCCAAAGGGACACTCTATTGGGAAAAGAATTTATATTTAAGACAAGGCAAATAAATGGATATTAACTAGTTTCAAAGCCCACAGTGGACCATTGCTGAAGAATTTATTAATAGGCCATGGCATAGATATAATAGAGTTCATTCACAGTTTAGCTCTAAGGTCCCAAAATAATTTACTCTCCCAGTAGAATTAAAAATAGGAATTATGTTTTGCGTAAGAGGACACAATGAGATGTCAGTCTATAATTTTAAAACAGCAAAAAGTCTGTCTTGTTCCAACAACAATTCTCAGAATAGTTCTCTTCCTAAATTTTCAAGGTCAATGTGGCATAAAACACTCATAAAAATGAGTAGAATCTGTGAGTTGAAAGGCAAAGAATAGTTATTAATATTTGTGCAGGCCTCAGTTATGATTGATTTGGTTTTCCAATATGTCACAAGGTATTAATTATTCCAGACCTAAATTATAAAGTCCCAGACTGCCTTCTAATAAGGGACAAAGCCTACCAATCCATAACAACAAGTACTGGTCCATTTTGAAAAATTGTTAGTGAGAGGAGATTTTGTTTTTAGCCCTATTTTGTATCTCAAATCTTTTAATTACTATTGACTACACTTATTGCTTTAAACATGCGATCCAGAAATATTTTTCAGTATCCATGTAACAGACATCAATACCAGGTCTTTTTTTGGGGGGAGGGGGTACTGGGGCTTATACCCTTTAATGGAAGAAAAAAACAAAACAAAGATGTTATCTGTGGGGAGACTTTGGGCTTCTTGTTTTCTAGATGGAGAAACAGAGGCTGAGAAGCCTCACAGTTCAGCCAGGATCTGATAGAGGCTAAGCACCCAGTCTCCTCTGTGTGCTCCCCTCTTATCCTTCTCACTCCCTGGGCTCTGAGCAATTGTCACATCATTAAGGGGAGCCCTAGGCCAAGCACGAAGTCCACACAGACATCCTCTCCCTCATCAGAGAGCTTAGTTGTTGGTAAGGAAGGGGCTCCATGCACAAATTGGTTGCCTATAGCTAAGACACTGTGTCAGTGCAAGACTTTAAGGTGTCTTCAGGCTCCAAAGCACCGACTTTTCTATATTTGTTTGTTTCTAAAGTAGTTAATTCCCACATAACTGACAGGCGGGTCCTTCTCACTATGTAACCCTCTGGGATTCTCTGCAGTCAGCCAGCATCTCTGGGATTCCTGCCTGAGCCAGACTCAGATGCTGATTGAACAGAGCTGGACTAGAGGCTAACTTTGCAAGAACTGACATACCTCCTTTTTCTCATTCTGTCTGCAAAACAAGGGGAACAGAACAAGCATGCCGTGAAATTATCTTATCATAAGAAAATCCATGTAGTGAAAACATGAAGTTGGAGGCCCATACCCCTGGGTCAAATCCTAGGGCCCCATTTCTGAGCTGTGTGACCTTAGAGAAGTTAATGAACTTCTCAGTCTCAGTTTATATTGATGATTATATACTTGACAAGGTTGTTGAAATCATGAAATGAGATGACTATGAAGAGTACATTGCTTATGTTTGGTGTTCATTCATCTATTTAATTCTCATCTATTTAATTCTCAAATTATCAATTGCCTAGACCTCGTTCTAGGTATTCACAGTACATGCTGTATCAATCTGCATCATGTAAAAGAAATGAATAAACACCCCCTGCCCATTGCCATTCTTCTCTTTTCAGTGGTTAAAAAAAAAAAAAAAAATTCACTCTTTTATGTACCCAGGTGATGATCAAAAGATTTGCTAACTATACAGAACCCTATCACTGTCAGTGTTTTGTGACAGCCCCTCCTCTTTTTTATGCTTGAGAATAGGCCCTCCTCTGATGTGTTTTCTGCTTTTCCATAGTGTCAATACATATATCTACATCAGTGTGTAAGAGATGTCCTCAGAGCAAGGAAGCTACGGAGTGAACAAGAAAACCCCTTGTTTCCAATCTACGAAAATGTGAATCCAGAGTACCACAGAGGTAGGATCTTGTTCATTAGCTTTTAAGTTCATTTTTCACTATTTAGTCAATCTGGAAATTATTAATCACTTAAAGCTCTTCCATTTCTTATTTTACCCAGAAAGTCCCCGAAAAGAATGGCAACAGGGAGAAGAGGCACAGTTAGGAGGGTACTCCCACATTTGAGCAGCGATTCCAGGAAGAGTTTCTATCTCCCTAGCCCAGGATGCACTTTATTAAGGAATCAGCTTAACATTCCTTTTTCTAGCAAGGAGCCTCACCCCTAAGAAGGATGCATTGAAATCACAATTGAGAGTTCAAGTTGTAAAATTGTTTGGAGAAGAATTTGGCAATCAAGTAATCAGAATCCTTAATATGTTCTTATTTTGTAACACAGTACTTTTCCTGCCACCCTAAATTCAAAAAAAGCGTTCTGCATAAATCTGTTCACAGTTAAAAGTTTGAGTGGAAAACACTGTTTAACAAAGGACTGCATTAGATAGCTTTGCATTAGCACAATGAAATACCTGAGGCAGCTAACTTTGTAAAGACAAAGGATTTAGTTAGCCCACATTGGAGAGCTTCAAGGATATGGCTCAGTTCTGGGAGGATCTCATGGTAAATGGTGGATGGCAGTCACAGGAGTGCATGACAAGAGCAAGCTGTCACATCTTAAGCTAGGAAGTGAGAGAGCTGGGTGGGGCCATCTTAGGCAACTGTAACAACCTTTTCAAAAGAAGGAGTCCCCTGAGAACTACCTCCCAAGGGCACACTCCCAAAGGTCTAAGGACCCCAAGCTAGGCCCCACATCCCAAAAGTTCTACCACAGTATTTCCTAACACTGCCACCGTGCAGACCACTCCTTCAATCACAGTGGACCCTTGGTGGTGCAAACCATATTGAAACCACAGCAAGGAATAAGTACCCATGGTGTATCACTTCATAGAATAGGACGTTGGCATTAAGAATGAAGGGCTTGACTAGCATGTGTGAGGCACTGGGTTCAACCCTCAGCACTGCATTAAAAAACAAAGCCCATCAACATCAAAAAGAAAAGAACAAAAAGAGTGAAGGACTTAGGTTTGAACTGGTGGTGAATGCCTATAACCAGATTCTTGGGAGACTGAGGCAGGAGAATGGCAAGTCTGAGGTCAGCCTCAACAACTTAGTGAGACCTTGTCTCAAAACGAAAATAAAAAGGTCTGGGAATGTAGCTGGGGATATAAAGTGCCCCTGGATTCAATCCCCAGTATTGGAAAAAAAGAAAGTCTTGGGTCATAGCTTAGTGATAGAACACTTGCCTAATATGGGTGAGGCCCTTGGTTTGATCTCCAGCACCGCAAAAGAAAAAGAAAAGTCAAGAATTTTATAAATAGAGATGGAGACAGAGATATATTTAGATGAAATCTCACTACATTGCCCACTGGCCTCCAACTCTTGGGCTCAAGCAATTCTCTTTCTTCAGCCTCCTGAGTAGCTATGACTGTAGGTATATACCACCTCACCTAGCTTAAGAATGTTATTTTTGAATATATTACAGTAATATGGATATTCTTACAAATAAGTTGTCTTAGTCCATTTTGTGTTGCTATAGCAAAATATCTGAGACTGTGTATTTTAAAAAGAAAAGAGGATTGGGCCAGGGAGGTAGTTCAGTGAAGGAGTACATGCTTAGCATGCTCGAGTCTTCTCAGCATAGCACAAAAAAAAAAAAAAAAAGAGAGAGAGAGAGAGAAAGAAAGAAAGAAAGAAAGAAAGAAAGAAAAGAAATAAGGGAAAGGAAGAGAAATGATTTTTATCTCACTCCTAATTCTTGAGGCTAAAAGTCCAAGATTGGGCAGATTCCATCTGTTCAGCCTCTGGTGGGGTTTCATGGGTGCATCACAGCAGGGCAATGTCATCACCTAGTGACAGGACATGTGATGGTGAAAGACATTATATGATGAGAAAGGGACCAAGAAGCTGGGGAGGAGCAAAGCTTAAAACAGCCTACTCTTGCAGGAACTCAGCCACTCCCGTGAGACCTAACCCACAGAGAGACCAGCATCAATTCCTTCACAGGACAGTGAGGACCTGGTCATTCCCTCTAGACCCCACTAGTCCTTCCACCTTTCAGAATTGTTACCCTGGGGACCCAGCTTCCAAGACTTGAGCCTTTTTGATGACAAACCACATCGAAACTGTAGCATAAGTTAAATAATAGATGCAGAATGTAATACAAAAACAAAGTGTGAAGGGCAAGACCAGGAGAAAATGCAGTAGTAAAATATATTTCTCTGAACAATAGAAAAATATGTGATTTTTCTCTTCTATTTTTATGTGTATTCTAGAATAAGCATGTAACACTTCCAAATAAAAAAATTTAGCAGAAAAAAATTACAAGTACTTCTTTGATCAAACAATGACTGATTGCTAAGAGAATGGTCTTCATGCCTCGTCCGACTCTAGGCCATCATTAATAATGACCTAAGTTATCACATAGACTGATTGCAAATGTGAGCATGCATTATATTGGTTAGATCTGTTTCTACCTACCAGCAACTTTCTCTCCAGGAGGACTGAGAGCTACCTAAAATCAGATAATTTTCCTTTGACAAACATTATTTCAGACCTGTCTTATCTTCATTTCCAAATGACCTTAAGTTGGCAATGCCTCTTAATGTCTTAATGTTTCTTTTATTGAGTCCTCTGTACCTGCTATACCAACCAGCTTGCCTATGTGTTGAATAGTTAATAATCTGTAAAGCACAAATAGAGACCTACTATTTAGAGGAGTCTTTGTAAATCAGATAGTCTTTTGTATTATGAATAATTACCCCCTAATTTATCTGTATAGTAAATTATGGAGAATGCTCTGGGGGATCTTAGAGGTTCCTTTGTCTTGCTTTGATCTTTTGGAGACTATTTTTTTTTAGAACAGTCTTGGGCATGTCTAAAAGAAACTAACTATGGGATAAGATCACCACCATCTTGAAAGCTAAGATTTAGATCCTAGTTGAGGAAAGACCTAGCATTAATGAGCTGGGTGGCCCTGAGTGAGTTACTCTGTCCCTCTGAGCCGGTAACTTTATCTGTAAAGCCAGAGGGCATGGACTAACATCACGCATCCCTTCCAAATCTGATAATCTATTTCTAAATGGAGTTACCTGGCCATCCTCATCCTAAACCATGTTGAGCTTTAGTCATTCTACTAGTCTTCCGACTTGTCATTTTCACAAACAGAACGACAGTGACATCCACTGCTGCGGTCTCTAATCACCTTGTCCTCCCTTTCAGATGCAGTCTATTCAAGGCATTAAGAATGTACCCGAAGATCTCCTGGATAAAAATTTTTCACTGTGTGATTTTGTTTTAAAAAAATTTGCTTCTTGCCCTGCAGAGGTGCCAACTATTTCTGTCAATACTATGTATAATTTATTAATCTGGAGAATGTTAAAGAATTTATGTAATTTAAAGGTAACAGATATTATTGTACATAGTTGTATTTTGTAGTTTTTCCTGTAAATATGTATTTTTTTCATAATGTTTAATATTAAGCTTTATATAATACTATTTTTTCACCCAAAAGTGTTCATGGCTTGTTCTACATAAAGCAATTCAACCTGTATGGCAGGATTACTGGTAAATGGGCTTGGAAGTGTTTGCAGAGAAAGATCCCTCGGGCTGTGTGTTTCTTACCTGCTGAAATATTCGCTGGATAGGATAAAGAGCAGGGACTAGAGAGAGCATATAGCAAGGCTAGCTTTGCTGCACTGCTGTCCCATGAATCTTGAAGTCCACGTATGATTCAGATGTTAGTAGGATAAATAAAAGTCAAAACAGGATTAGGATAGCGGGAATAATTCTGTGTAGAGTGCATGCTTAGTATGCATTGATCATAAACATGAAAAAAAAGAAAAAATAAAGTACTAGGAGAGGAATTTTTCAGATTCATGCATCAGACTGCACCAAAGCTGAGCTTTGTCATTTTGACTAAATGAGTTGCTCTCTGCTCTTGCTCCTGCCACAGATTCAAGCCCAAGTAGCCAGATCAGGGGCCTTGTGACTTTAGTACAAGCTCAGGCTGCAGGGTTGAGAGAATTCCTTGTGTTAAGAAGAATCTCAGCTATACCCTGACTGGAAACAAAGCACACAAAACTCCATCCGTAGTAACTAGAGATTATTTTGCTGCATTCACAGTGTGGAACATGAACATGCTTACCTGCGCTGTAGTGTTGGCTTATGGACACACACTGGTCCTTGTCTTCTTTCCAGTGGTCTGCTTTCCTGGAGAGGTCATGTTTAGTTTTCCCATGAAAAGATTATGTTGGCAGATTATGCTCTTGGTCAAAGGATCTAATACCAACATTGTCATAAAACTTCTATCAACATCATATATAGCTAATTAAAAAGCAAACAGCAACAAAAACAAAATTGCAGTGTTTTTTAGTGCAAAATTTTCCAAAAGATTTTTACAGTAGGTCAATGAAGTCAAAATTTCAAGTCACCTAAAGTTGCATTTAATATAAAAGGCCATACATACTCTACCAAGTTAATCCTCAGTATTTGTGCCTTATTTTGATTATGACAAATTTCAGTGAGTCGGGAAGTGGGCATTGCCTTTATCAAGGTTCAGTTCTAAGAGCCTTTCTGGGAAAAATAATAAAAGCATTTATATGAAATTCTTATGGCTTCCTGATAAAACAAACTGGAGATATTAGCCTTTAATTAGAGGTCATATTTGTGATCTTACCAATTCATTGGCAGAAAAAAATACTTTTTTTTTTTGTCAAAGTACCTTGCTACCTAACATAAATTTCCATTAATAGTATAGCAAGTCTTATTGTGCCTAAAATATTTATATTTATATAACTCTGTACCCAACTTGGGAATTTTTCTGGGGTGATTTGAAGTATCGAAATAGAGGGACACTTCACAAGGATGAATGTGCAGAGTAATAAAAGGATTCAAAGATTTCCCAGCTTCTTTGTGCCCTTGTAAAGTGACAGCATTAGGCTCTGATTCAGGATCAGGGAACTAAATGGCTACTCTAGGAAAGAAATGGAACAACATTTGTGTTAAGTGAGGTAGATGTGCACCGGGAGGGAAACAGAGGTCAGTAACTTAGGAGGTTTGATATCGAAGAAGAATCATTTTATCTACACTATAAAGAAAAGCAAGAGGAAAACAAAACATTTTCAAACTAAAATTATTCTGTGCAAAGCACATTGATGCCTGAAGAGAGAAATTCATTTTTGACTTTTCACTCCTTCAGAAAACTTTTAGTAAGGGCCTGCAAACACTACCAGAATCTACATTTCTACCCACATTCATAGAACACATGGTAATAATAAAGTTAGGGCCATTGTCACCATTTTCATTTGAATTTAAAAGAGGACCTGGGCAAGGGACTGAGATTACTGAGCCAGTCTAGGGCAGTGGTCACCTTCCAGGGGCCTCTCTCTAGCAAGTAATGAGGCTGCTTCTGTAGCAACCACTGGATCCAAATGAGAGCAATTGACAGTGTGCAGCCCGGGAGTCACAGCCCTTAACAACCTACACATCTGCAACAGCAAATAACACTCACACACCTGGCAACATCTGAGATGGAATCAGAATTACAGAAATGAATACGAGGAGGGGAAGCTGTACTTTTTTTTAGTCTAATCCAGGAAATATTGATTCCTACTCTACACCTAATTTTAAATCTCCTTAGCAACAAATATTACACTATTCCCTTTTGCTCCCAGGAAGACTAAATACGTAATATAGTTGATCTATTCATTAAATTTAAGAGAAGAAAAAAAAAAAGACTTCCTTGACATTCAGCTCAATTGGATATATTTCCATTTAATTGCATCATGGGGCTGGTCTCAGCAAACATTCCGTTTCCTGTCTTGGTGGGCATCCTGTCTGTGCACCTGTGGGGTACACTTTAATCATCAAGGTTTCCAAGTGGTTTGGAGCTCTCAAATCTACGGAGAGTCCTGTCTTGCATCTTAATCATTATTTATCCAAGTTCCTTATAATTAACTCCTTTAATCTCTTCTCATTAAATCAATTTTGTATTATCATTAAGTCTTTCTCTGAAAAGCAGCCAGTTTTTCAGCTCTTGAATCAGTTCTTCAGAGATTTGCTTCCCTGTCTGGGCTGGCACATATTTGTCCTAATAACTTCCCAACCCTTAGTCCTCTAAGCCCCATGGCTTGCCCTCTCTCCCTGTCAAATATGTTTGCTCTGCTGGGTTGAATGTGATTTTACCTTCTGTTCTTCTTAATGCTTTGTACCCATTGGTATAATTTTATAGGCTCCACAGTATAAAAGAGATAACCATGCTCTCATTTTCAAATACTGAAATGCGACAAAACAGTTTGGGATTTGTTTTTTGGCGGGGAGGGTCTTTAATTAATTTTGTTATTACCTCTTGGAAGAAAGCCCAAAATGACATGAAAAAAATAATATGAAGCCATTTAGCAGATGTCCAGCAATACAAAAATAAGACTCAACGTGTTACACTTCACACTCTGATTCTCTTGCCTTGGTGCCTAAGAATCCAGTTTCCTAATTAAATACTCTCCTTACCCTTTGTAACAAAATTATCTGCCATCCACCAAATTCTTGTTCACTTAGCTGTCTGGGAATTCCTTGAGGTTGGAATCCTGAAATCCTAAAGCCAACAGATCCGCCTGATAGTGAAGGGTCCCATCCTAGACCCAGCTCTTGGGTACTCTGGGATATCAGTTCACACACGTGGATCAAACCAAACCTGACCTAGCAACATGAATAGATGATAAGCTGCTGGCTTATGGTAACTGATCAGCCAAGGTGGAGTGGCCAGAAGGGAAGAGTGGTCCTCCTCCAAGTGGCAGTGAGCAAGCTCTCAGCCCTTCCTCATTCCTGAAGAGTCAAGAGTAGAAAATGTCATATTTACCTAAATGTCTTGTTCATTTCCAGAGGATCTTTAGTCTGAGATTTAGAATCACATCAGGCATGCAAAGAATGTTTCACATCAAAGAAAACTGCAAAGCATGACTGCAGGCAGCAAATAAAATGACACAAAGATGGGAAAATATTTGAATAAAAGGAATTGAACCAGACCAAGAAGATAAAGCAGCCTTTCTTCTGTGGCCAGCCATACTGTCCCTTAAAAATCTCCATCATGTATTTCCATCAGGACATACAAATTGAATATCCCTAATCCAAAACTCTGAAATCCAAAATGCTCCAAATCCAAGAGTTTTTTTAACTAAAACGACACCACAGTGGAAAATTCCACCCTGGCCTTAGGTGACGCATGACAATCAAAACAACAGGTGCACTAAAAACATTGTATAAAATTATTTTCAAGCCAGGGGCAGCAGCAGAGCATATCTGTAATCCTGGCTCCTTGGGAAGCTGAGGTGGGAGAATTGCAAGTTCAAGGCCAGCCTGGGCAACTTACTGAGACCTTGTCTCAAAATATAAAACAAAATGGGCTTAGGATACAGCTCAGTGGTAGAGTACTTGACTAGCACATCCAAAGCTCTGGGTTTAATTCCCTTTTCCATTGAAAAAAAAATTTTTAGGGCTGGGTGCCTTGGTGCATGCATGGATTATAAGTTCAAAGCCAGCCTCAGCAACGGCGAGGCCCTAAGCAGCTCAGTGAGACCCTATCTCTAAATAAAATATAAAATAGGGCTGAGGATGTGGCTCAGTAGTTGGGTGCTCCTCAGTTCAATGCCCAGTACCAAAAAAATTTTTTTTACTTTCCATATTTAGACTTGGGTCCCATTCCCAAGGTAACCATTATATGTAAATACTCTACCATCCCAAAAAAGTGAAATCCAAAATACTTTTGGTATTTTACATAAGGAATATTCAACCTGTATTAACCTTTTTGGGGGTTCATTTTGACTGTGTTGGCCAGATAATTTATCTGATTAAGCAACTGAATTGATTCATTTAGTTTGTGAATTGACCAGATGTTTGACTAAATTTACTGTGTTTGGGATTCTGTAATTTAATCCACCTTAGATTCTTATAGTGCATGATGATTTTGAAAATGTTTGGCCATTTTAGTTAAAATTCAGGGTAACATTTGATGCAGCCATGATAACAACAAAAATCTGTTCTGTTCTAAAAATGTTTCTAGCAATGAAAGTATTTCTGGCTAAAAGAATACTCTTGACTGGTAGGGAGGCTCCCTTGGAATAAATGTATGCGTTTAATTTTTTTAAAGATTGCCTATATAGATACATTCATTAAATAAGGAAATTGTTGGTGAATGTTCCTAAAATAGAGGTTGATGTAATGGAAATAAAAGATATATTAAAAGATTTACCAAAGATTATTTTTATATCCTATATGCCAATGCACATGATCTTATATAAGGTACCAAAATAAGTTATTCAAAACTGCAAATAATGTCAGACAAATGCAACGTGTCCCTTCTAGAATAGTCACAAGAAGGGTTTGTTATGGCTGTTTTCTGCTTTAAGTAATTTCTTTCAAGAATACCATAATCAAGCTGGGTGTGGTAGTGCATGCCTGTAATCTCAGAAACCTGGGCAGTTGAAGCTGAAGAAACATACATTCAAGGTTAGCCTCCTCAGCAACTTAGGGAGACCCAATCTCAAAATAAAGACAAAA